TCATCTGACTGTATTACTAGATGTCACACCATCTCACTGTGTTTTGACTGTAACTAGAGGTCACACCATCTCACTGTGTATTGACTGTAGTACTAGATGTCACATCATCTGACTGTATTGACTGTAGTACTAGATGTCACATCATCTGACTGTATTACTAGATGTCACACCATCTCACTGTGTATTGACTGTAATACTAAATGTCACACCACCAGACTGTGTATTGACTGTAATTAGATGTCACACCATCTGACTGTGTATTGACTGTAGTACTAGATGTCAAACCATCTGACTGTGTATTGACTGTAGTACTAAATGTCACACCATCTGACTGTGTGTATTGACTGTAGTACTAAATGTCACACCATCTGACTGTGTATTGACTGTAGTACTTTTTGTTACCTAGTGTCAAATGATTGTATAACCATTCATGTAAGTGCTAGGGATTATGAATGCTACAAGGATTTTGCCTGTGGTCCATCTCCATCGCTTTAGACTTGATATCCTTGTCTTATAGTAGGGAAATGATTGTGATCCTAATAACCAGATAAACAATCAACTTGCTTGAAGAAAATTAGCTATACACAACTGGGGACTTGATTGTTGTGACATTGTCTGGAGTTTTACTTCCTGTACTCTCCTCCTATCTAATAATATGAACACTTTCTGGCCAAGATGTTTGATTATCAAAACCATCAAGAACCTGCACTTAATAAATATAAGATGAAAACTTGAATATAAAACATGATGATACTTTAATTCAAAGTGAGCTATACAATGAACACTTTACATTTGGACATTATGGTATTACCAACATCAATACAATGTGTTAGCTTGTCACTGTCCCTTTCAGTAATATCTCATAGCCATATATGCTACCAATGTACAACCTCTGCTAATTATTTGGTGTTTACAGTGACTTTTATGTAAACATTCTTCCTCACACTTGTTCAAAACTAAATCATACACAAATAAAAACTGATTCACATACAAACATACTTACTTCATACTCATCATCATCACAACACTTACACATACTGGTATTCAAGTATGAAACACTCACTTAATTTCTGGGGTCAGAGGTCATCACTACTGTCAGTCAGAGGTCATCACTACTGTCAGCCGGGTGTCAGAGGTCATCACTACTGTAAGTCTGAGGTTAACACCATTGCCATTCTGAGGTCAGAAATTCTCAACAGAGGTCAGAGGTCATCACTACTGTCAGTCAGAGGTCATCATTTCTGCCAGACTGAGATCATGAGTCATCACTTCTGTCCGTCAGAGGTCATCAGTACAGTCAATCTGAAGTCATCTGATCACTAGCCAGTTTGGGTGTCGTCATTACTGTCAATCTGACGGCCACTGACAGAATGTATTAGCTGTTCTTGAGACAGCTAGTATTTGTGAACAATGGCAGCTATCTTTGTTGCATGGTGTCGTCATTACTGTCAATCCGACGGCCACTGACAGAATGTATTAGCTGTTCTTGAGACAGCTAGTATTTGTGAACAATGGCAGCTATCTTTGTTGCATGGTGTTGTGATTACTGTCAATCCGACGGCCACTGACAGAATGTATTAGCTGTTCTATTTGCAGATATTCTTCGATCAAGTTCTTGAAATCAGATAAAAGGTAAAAATGACCCATTTCTGTTGCACAACACTCCAGTCTTTCTAAGATGTATCTACCAAGTTTGAAGCTTTACTTAAAGGAGTCATAATTCCTGATAAATGACATAATATTACCCAATATCTGTGCCATTATATACCAGTTGTATTCTGATGGTATCAAACAACTCACAAACTCTGTGTTCTGATATAAAACACCTCATTAACTAATCAAGTAAATTCACACACAAAAAACCAAGAGGCCCATGGGCCTTAACGGTCACCCGAGTCCTACAGTATTCATTTTTGTTGTTGAAATATGAAGTGGAGATAATGATGTCAATCATCCCTATCAAAATTTGAGTAAAAAAAGGTAATGTACAACTTGAAGTTAAGTTTGCCAGGACCATGAGTTGATCATTCCTCCCCAGTTTTAATTAAATGGGCCCAGTAGAACATGACTTTTAAGTTTAAAATAGTTTTTCAAAATGGCCGGCCCTGGCGGCCATATTGGATTTCTGATTGACCCGAAAATAACAACAATTTGTCAGGACTATGAGTCAATCATTCCTACCAAGTTTCAGTTCAATCAGCCCAGAAGAACTTGACTGTAAGTTGGAAAGTTTTTCAAAACGGCTGCCGTTTTTAAAATCAGCATTTGGTCAGGGAGTTGTCAGTAACATTCCCATCAAGTATCAATGAAATCCCTTTGACAGTATTTCAGCTAAAGCTCAGGTGACCTAAAAAAAATCCAGATTTTAACTTGTGATCAGATTATCTGATTATAAATATGTATACTAATTAAAAGGAAACAATAGGACTGCTCAATAGACAAGACATCTGTCAATTTCATTTTCAGCAAACTGGAGTGTTTACCATAAACAAATAAAATCAAGCAAAACTGTTGAAATCAATGCAAATGTATTTACAACTGACCAAGTTTAATTTTGACATGTAAGCAGTTGTCAATGATCTCTCATTCAAGTCTAAATTAACAAATACCTGATATAATATGAGATAATGACCACGTATAACATACACATTCACCATCCAAACCCACACACAAGTTACCACATCATAATAGTCACCAGACATAACAAGGATTTAGGAAGCTGAGGGATAGGGAGACAATCACTTCTCAGCACATGCTTTGTTTTTCGTGTAAGTTTATTTGACATAAAAATTATAATACACAAAATAAGCATTTGTTGGGAAATAGAGAACATGTCCAACACTTAATTACTGAAAATTGTATGTCTTCCCGCACCCCCCTCCTCCTCCCCAAAACACTAATTTTCTCTCTCCCAAAAACTAAAAAGTATCACTTTACGTTGTCAATATCAAAGTATTCACTCCAGTTTTACAGAAACATGGAACATCTTTTATTTACTCTATGAAGCATTATTTTGACAAGAATGTCATGATATGGAGGTGAACCATCGGCTGAAGTGTAGTGAGACACACTATATATACTAGGAAATAAACATATTCACGGGTTTGTTTCAAACATTTTGGGCGGAAGAAACTGGCTTTCCATCAACACAAACATTTTTTTCAGACATTTGGACAAATGTCAACAACTGAAATTGCAGCTGAAATATAGGAATATATAAACAGCTCACATACTATATTACCTGATTGCATTATATATCAATGATCAGACTGCAGCAGCCTCATATCAATTATTTAAGAACTTGGCCTGGTATCGAGCAAAAGTTGGAGACTTCGGTTGTAAGTATACACTAGGCATGTTTAATCACGATCTGGTAAATACTTCAAAAAACACCATCTTGACATCACAGAAGTCCAATTAAATATCCACAAAGATAGTGGGGCATTAAACTTGAGTGAGGACCAACTTTGGTAGAAAGTATATAACTTACAAGGCATTTTTCATGAAAATCTGTAATTCTTTCATAAGTTACCATCCTGAATCCATCAGCCAATCAGATTGTTGCAATCTGCTTAAATATGCTTAGTTAGGCAGAACATCATACGTGATTTAGGGGACTTTGGTGTGATAAGTTCTCTATGCAAGTTTCATCAGAATCTGAAATTTTCTCCAAAAGATGTAGACTGTAATCATATCTGTATGAACTACAATAGTCACTAGCATTCATTCTAAACGTTGAATCAAACTCATAATATACCCAAATCAAAGCCGAGTAGGTCATTGATACCTGGCTTAGGTTTGTGTAGTGTTTTATAAAATCATAAAATTCCTCCTGATGTTATTGCATGGAAACCATTTGATGCTCTATACAATTCAAGAAGGCAGCGTGTGACCATGTTGATTTTCAAATTTAGGTATTACATAAATTGAAGAGGGTAATTGATACTATATTTATGTGTGAAAAATTTCATGAAAATCGAAGTAGTCCTTCAAGAGTTAATGCCCAGAAACCCTTAATGTGGACAGACACCTACGACCGGGTGATCTCTTGACTCTTTAAAGTCATCAGCTGCTTTGTAGGCGACAATCTGCTGAACACAAAGCATGTACTAAACCATTAATGACCTCCTTGTTTTATAGAAGTCCCTGGTTAATCAGGTAGATTTGCTGGCAATCTCCGATAATTCAATATCTTTAAAAATATATTTTTAAAACAGTTAACCGTTTAACATGACAGAAGTCTGGCAGGGTAGATGTATTACCTACTCCAGGGATAAGAGGCAGCACTTGTGCTCCCCAAGTTTTTATCAAATAATGACCTGCTTTTCTTTCCCCCCAAGAGAACATATCACATACAGATTTTATGTTGGTGTAGTGTTAATTTTGTAACTGTGTTTCCTTGTTTATGCCATTGTACTTTCATTTATATCCAAAAATGATAAAAAAAATCAAACAAATAATACACAAAGTAATCTGTATTACCTGTACATTACAACACTGCTCTCAATTGTTGTGAACAACTGTGTTAAACATCATATTCTCTGCTTAATGCCTGCTAAAATCATCCCCACATACCACGACAAAAAATGCTTAATGACTATTGGAAACTGTTTTCTGGAAATTGGAATGATTATAGCTTTGATAAATTATTTCTGACAAGAAAACCATTCCTTGTGGGACTTTTATGGGAAATAATAAAGATGAAATGAACAAAGTATAATCAACAACAGTGTTCTTGGTGTAAAACTTCCGTTGGGCTAGACAGGGACTTGAACCCTGGACTTCACATTGTTATTGGGGCTAGCTGAAGCTTGAACCCTGGACTTCACATTGTTATTGGGGCTAGCTGAACCTTGAACCCTGGACTTCACATTGTTATTGGGGCTAGCTGAAGCTTGAACCCTGGACTTCACATTGTTATTGGGGCTAGCTGAACCTTGAACCCTGGACTTCACATTGTTATTGGGGCTAGCTGAAGCTTGAACCCTGGACTTCACATTGTTATTGGGGCTAGCTGAAACTTGAACCCTGGACTTCACATTGTTATTGGGGCTAGCTGAACCTTGAACCCTGGACTTCACATTGTTATTGGGGCTAGCTGAAGCTTGAACCCTGGACTTCACATTGTTATTGGGGCTAGCTGAAACTTGAACCCTGGACTTCACATTGTTATTGGGGCTAGCTGAACCTTGAACCCTGGACTTCACATTGTTATTGGGGCTAGCTGAAGCTTGAACCCTGGACTTCACATTGTTATTGGGGCTAGCTGAAACTTGAACCCTGGACTTCACATTGTTATTGGGGCTAGCTGAACCTTGAACCCTGGACTTCACATTGTTATTGGGGCTAGCTGAAGCTTGAACCCTGGACTTCACATTGTTATTGGGGCTAGCTGAAACTTGAACCCTGGACTTCACATTGTTATTGGGGCTAGCTGAACCTTGAACCCTGGACTTCACATTGTTATTGGGGCTAGCTGAAGCTTGAACCCTGGACTTCACATTGTTATTGGGGCTAGCTGAAACTTGAACCCTGGACTTCACATTGTTATTGGGGCTAGCTGAACCTTGAACCCTGGACTTCACATTGTTATTGGGGCTAGCTGTAACTTGAATCCTGGACTTCACATTGTTATTGGGGCTAGCTGTAACTTGAATCCTGGACTTCACATTGTTATTGGGGCTAGCTGAACCTTGAACCCTGGACTTCACATTGTTATTGGGGCTAGCTGAAGCTTGAACCCTGGACTTCACATTGTTATTCTATAGCTCTACCGATTGAGCTTCCAGGTCAACAGAAGCGTGTCTTTTACAATACTCAAGAGTGTTTAGTGCCTTCAAATTACTGATATAAATATACTCTTAACAATAAACCTGAAGAATTATAGATGTCAAAATAAAGAGATGCATAAAGGGCCACAACTCTGTATCTACTGGGGCACAAGACCCGATTTCAGTACGACAATTTCACAAGACCCGATTTCAGTACGACAATTTGCCATGATACTTAGAGATTCTTTCCTGCAAAGGTTTGCAATTGTTATGGTATATAAAAGATGCCCTAGACAAAGCACTGATGGACAGAATGCAAACCTACAGTGCCCTCCAGCAGTAAGGGTAGGGGACCAAAACAGTTTAAGGTATTTTCTTACTGTTTGAAATTGGAAAAAAGGAAGAAACTCATTTGAAAGGTAGTACAATGGCAAAAACTTGAAGATACCTAAACCCTGTAAAACAAAAACCTCACAAATGTAGTAACTGACCAGAACTAACTGCCAGGTCAGCAAGGGATCCTCGTGATAACAAGCTAACACCTCAGTCTGGAGAAATCCCAAACCTGTACAATAATAATGACAACCTAGATCACACTCGACAGTTGTCAATGTAGTTTACAAGACTTGAAGATACCCCAAACCTGTACCATAATAATGACAACCTAGATCACACTCGACAGTTGTCAATGTAGTTTACAAGACTTGAATATACCCCAAACCTGTACAATAATGACAACCTAGATCACACTATACAGTTGTCAATGTAGTATACAAGACTTGAAGATACCCCAAATCTGTACAATAATGACAACCTAGATCACACTCTACAGTTGTCAATGTAGTTTACAAGACTTGAAGATACCCCAAACCTGTACAATAATGACAACCTAGATCACACTCTACAGTTGTCAATGTAGTATACAAGACTTGAAGATACCCCAAACCTGTACAATAATGACAACCTAGATCACACTCTACAGTTGTCAATGTAGTATACAAGACTTGAAGATACCCCAAACCTGTACAATAATGACAACCTAGATCACACTCTACAGTTGTCAATGTAGTATACAAGACTTGAAGATACCCCAAACCTGTACAATAATGACAACCTAGATCACACTCTACAGTTGTCAATGTAGTATACAAGACTTGAAGATACCCCAAACCTGTACAATAATGACAACCTAGATCACACTCTACAGTTGTCAATGTAGTATACAAGACTTGAAGATACCCCAAACCTGTACAATAATGACAACCTAGATCACACTCTACAGTTGTCAATGTAGTATACAAGACTTGAAGATACCCCAAACCTGTACAATAATGACAACCTAGATCACACTCTACAGTTGTCAATGTAGTATACAAGACTTGAAGATACCCCAAACCTGTACAATAATGACAACCTAGATCACACTCTACAGTTGTCAATGTAGTATACAAGACTTGAAGATACCCCAAACCTGTACAATAATGACAACCTAGATCACACTCTACAGTTGTCAATGTAGTATACAAGACTTGAAGATACCCCAAACCTGTACAATAATGACAACCTAGATCACACTCTACAGTTGTCAATGTAGTATACAAGACTTGAAGATACCCCAAACCTGTACAATAATGACAACCTAGATCACACTCTACAGTTGTCAATGTAGTATACAAGACTTGAAGATACCCCAAACCTGTACAATAATGACAACCTAGATCACACTCTACAGTTGTCAATGTAGTATACAAGACTTGAAGATACCCCAAACCTGTACAATAATGACAACCTAGATCACACTCTACAGTTGTCAATGTAGTATACAAGACTTGAAGATACCCCAAACCTGTACAATAATGACAACCTAGATCACACTCTACAGTTGTCAATGTAGTATACAAGACTTGAAGATACCCCAAACCTGTACAATAATGACAACCTAGATCACACTCTACAGTTGTCAATGTAGTATACAAGACTTGAAGATACCCCAAACCTGTACAATAATGACAACCTAGATCACACTCTACAGTTGTCAATGTAGTATACAAGACTTGAAGATACCCCAAACCTGTACAATAATGACAACCTAGATCACACTCTACAGTTGTCAATGTAGTATACAAGACTTGAAGATACCCCAAACCTGTACAATAATGACAACCTAGATCACACTCTACAGTTGTCAATGTAGTATACAAGACTTGAAGATACCCCAAACCTGTACAATAATGACAACCTAGATCACACTCTACAGTTGTCAATGTAGTATACAAGACTTGAAGATACCCCAAACCTGTACAATAATGACAACCTAGATCACACTCTACAGTTGTCAATGTAGTATACAAGACTTGAAGATACCCCAAACCTGTACAATAATGACAACCTAGATCACACTCTACAGTTGTCAATGTAGTATACAAGACTTGAAGATACCCCAAACCTGTACAATAATGACAACCTAGATCACACTCTACAGTTGTCAATGTAGTATACAAGACTTGAATATACCCCAAACCTGTACAATAATGACAACCTAGATCACACTCGACAGTTGTCAATGTAGTATACAAGACTTGAATATACCCCAAACCTGTACCATAATAATGACAACCTAGATCACACTCTACAGTTGTCATTATGGTATCAATTATGACAGTTTTGGATAGTTATAAACTGATGATCTGACTGCAATGGAAAATGTCTGAAATAAAGATATGGAAATGTCTAAAATATATTATAAAGGTCAAAGGTCACCATTTCTATGCTTTTCTCGCCCATGTCTGTCTCTATGTCGTTCCCTGCTACGTGACCTTGATCTCCTATCTCTGTGGGAGTGTTTTGAACTCTTTTTAAAATGTCGTTCCCTGCTGTGTGAGCGTTTGCGTTCGCGGCTCCTCGGCTGGCTTTCTTTGCCCTTTGTCCGGTTTTGCCTCTCACGCTCTCTTTGTAAGTCACGTGCAAAATCACCACCACTTGATTGTGCAGGTCTCCTTGAAGGTGAAGGTCGTCTTCCCTTGGATCGGTGATGATCTGGTGAATGTCTGCGATGATCAGGTGACGACTTGTGGTGTGGTGACCGGCGCCGATCAGGAGACCGTCGATGTGGTGAGCGACGGACAGGAGACCGCCGTGGAGATCGCCGTGAATGTTGTGGAGATGATGTGCCTCTTTCAGGTGACCTGTATAATATATGAATTTTACCTTATACAGAATACTCTGATCAGTGTATTAGATCATCTAAACCAATAACATAGGCAGGGGAGACAACCAAAAAAGCCCAGAAAACCCAGTGTTCATATAGAGATCATTAGGAACTGCGTCTATTTAAGTTCACGGTGGCTTTAGTACCAGCAATGACGAGTTGTATGGCAGCAATGATTGTTTGTACACGTATTTATTGTAACCACTCACTGAGTATACTTAAGACAAGGCCATGGTGTCTCCATCCCCAAAACCCCATCTCATCTGCACACTATCGGCCAGGTAAGATACTAGTCTGGACACATGCTTTGCTCACCACTTACCTGTTTTTGTGTGACATCCTCTCAGCCTCCCCAAAGCTTAGCTACTCACCACTTTCCTGTTTTTGTGTGACATCCTCTCAGCCTCTCCAAAGCTTAGCTACTCTCCACTTTCCTGTTTTTGTGTGACATCCTCTCAGCCTCCCTAAAGCTTAGCTACTCACCACTTACCTGTTTTTGTGTGACACCCTCTCAGCCTCCACAAAGCTTAGTTCCTCAACACTTACCTGTTTTTGCGCGACATCCTCTCAGCCTCCACAAAGCTTAGCTCCTCACCACTTACCTGTTTTTGTTTGACATCCTCTCAGCCTCCACAAAGCTTAGCTCCTCAACACTTACCTGTTTTTGCGTGACATCCTCTCAGCCTCCCCAAAGCTTAGCTCCTCACCACTTACTTGTTTTTGTGTGACATCCTCTCAGACTCCACAAAGCTTAGCTACTCACCACTAACCTGTTTTTGCATGACATCCTCTCAGCCTCCATAAAGCTTAGCTCCTCACCACTTACCTGCGTTTGTGCGACATCCTCTCAGCCTCCACAAAGCTTAGCTCCCCACCACTTACCTGCGTTTGTGCGACATCCTCTCAGCCTCCCCAAAGCTTAGCTCCTCATCAGGTATATGTTGTGGTTGAGTGGTTGTGGCTATCTGCGGCTCCTCCTCCTCCTCCTCCTCAGGGCGGGACCACTTGTGGTTCTTCAGCTTCTGCATCACATCTTTTTGCACGGGTACAGGAATGCGGGGAAACAATGTGGAGTACCACTCCAGCTTGGTCATCCACTGACGAATCATTTCACCGATAGGCATCACATGCCCTCCCCCTGCCTTAACATCTATCTCCTGTAATGAATGAGAAATGAAAGTTTGGTATAAGTTAGACTGTATAAATATGTGACACTCTCAGAGAAATGTTACCATTGTAGTTAACTATCTGTATTATATGGGTTTGCTCTAGTGTCCCAGTGGGCTGAAAAGTAAATATCTGTTACTCTCTTTATTGTATCTGGGTCAGACATTCAATATAAAACCTTCCTGACTGCAGGAAGTTACAAGATTTTGAAAGATACTTGACTACGCAGATACATTTCAAACCACTGAAATATGCTACAGACAGCCAATCTGCTTGTGTAGTAAATGGTTGATAAATCCTTGTTAGAGTTCACTCTGAACAGGCTTGTGTAGTAAATGGTTGATAGCATAAATCCTTGGTCGAGCTCACTCTGAAAAGGCTTTTATTTGTTTTCCTTTCTCCAATCTTTTTTTTTTTGAACAATACATCAATGTAGACATACCATTTGATTACAAGTTTTTTTTTTACATATATATATAATGATATCTATCAAACTTGAGAGGAGACTTGAAGCTGAAAACAGAATGAGCCCAGACAATATGTAATTTTAACAAGAGATTATCACCTCCAACACAAGTAAGGTCATTAACATTAGAATAATAATAAATATTCACACAGAATATTCATGTTTCTTCTCAAATATTCAAACAGAATATATCACTGTTCTAATCAAATGTATATACATAATATTTCATTTTTCTCGTCGTCAAATTAATTATTTGTTGTCTGTGAATTTAAAATTAATTAGTCATATAACATGATTAACATGTTTATGTGTGGGTGTATGTTATTATAACCTCATGTCAGAGGTCAAGGGTCATTCCACGGTGAATTGGCGAACTTGCTATCATGAGACCAGCCCTCAGCGGGATCTAGAGCAACACCCTGCAGTAATACAAAACACAGTCTATAATAAAGGCATTACTCTTCAGTTGCATTTGAAAATACTCTATTAAAATATCATTTCACTTAACAAGTTATATGTCAAAGCAAAGTGATCATGTGATAATGAAGTTTTTAGTTTCTTTATCCTTTGTAAACTTGTTCTTTACTAATCAACATTAAATAATATACGTAATAGTGACAGAAGATTATGGAATCACACAAGAAACAGATTTCAGTGAAATAAATATCTAACAAAAACAATTATTTTGAGTTTATAAGCTTGGAATGTCATCATGACCGTCTTATTGAGAAACCAAATCATGTAATTTTCTTTTTTCTGTTTGACAGAGTGACTCTTTGATTTTATAACTGAAATACAATTTAAAAAATCCTATTTCTGTGTAATACCAACACATTATGTGGAATTACAAAGTATGGGGTGTTATACTCACCACTTTACACCACTCAGTGCCTCCAGACAGCCAGAGGATCCTCATATGTGTGTGTGTGGGGTAGTGTGGGGCATTACATTAACACTCGACACATTATATATAAACACATTTATTTATCTGATTATATAATAATTATCAGTTTAAATTTTTCTGCTTTTAAAGATGTCTCTTATTTGACATTAACTTTGAACGCTGGTTAGAGAAGTTTCTATGTTCCTCATAACAATATATCATAGATTCTAGACAATAGGCCAGTGTGGCCTGGCCTTAGGAGGGAGGGAGGGCTTTGTGTTCATGTTGGACATACCTCCTCATCTTCCAGGTAAGGTTCATACCAATCCCATAGTTCCTTAGGGTCCTGTGTGTACCTGTAACATAAACTGTGTTACCATTTTGGTATACAAAACAACACCTACTCATTATATAAGTACATACCACATATGATGTCCTTACATGAAATAGTGGCCAAGATATGATCTGTAACATTGGACAGACACAAAGGGTAAATAATACACTTTTTCTTGACTTTGATAAAGCAGGGTTTTAACAAGTCAGTTTTGGTCCTTGTCCTTCAACATTTCCCTGTTGTCATGTCTTGTCATCACACAAATACTGGAAATCGGTGTAGCTGTATCATAAGAAACTAGAACAAATGTTTAGGTTAATAGTACCATTAACCAAAATATGTACTTTTGTTGACAACCTTTTTTGTTGTAATTTGATTTCAAGGTGTCCAATGCTTAATTATAAGCAGCCTTACCTGATATACATGAATCCCAGGCCACGTATGTAGGGAGAGTCCTGGTGTGTGATCAGTCCAGTTAACTGCTTACGTGTCAGCCTCAGTGTAAACAGTTTGTACAGCAGACAGTAGGCACTGGACACTATCCCTCCAGCCCCCACACCTCGTACCTACAGGTAATAATGTCAGAGACAGAGAGTAATGTCATATACAAATATCACAAATCTCAAGTATAGATACCCATACCAAATACAGGAGCAGGTGTTGATAGTTTACAACAATTATGAAACTTATATAATAGTTATCAATCAGATAATAAATCGGACGGCCTCTTATGTTACAGGAGTAGGTCATTTAAACCGATAATCGATTATGATCGATTGTGGAGTCCCGATTATCAGTCTTGAATATTTGACCGATTCCCAGCACTAATATCCACTGCGCCACCTGGTCATCCTTATAAATATTATTCACCATTATTTTCATTAAAACAGATACAAATAATATTGTTAATCTTAATATACAGGGTCTACAAATATTAATATCAATGTTATCCTCAGCCATATTGTGCATTTTATACAAGTAATATTAATTAACGCTGGCATATATATCCCAAGTTATCACTCAAAAGGAGTTTCTCAACATGCAGTTAGAAATGATATAAACTATGTTGGTCATACATACCCCTCCACACATGCCAGTCTGTCCAGCTGTCTTCCTGCTGCCTCTTTCCCAAGGCTCTAAATGTTCCACCTAAATGAAAAATACAGTTACTCTTCCTTCTAGTTCAACTTTGAAGAAACAAAAATAGCCCTTACATAAGCCTGTTATAATGGCTCTACAGATAGTGTTAACAGTGTTTACATTCATACAGTATCTATGTCATGTATTGTGTCTATACAATTACTGTTACGCTTATAATGGCTCTACAGATAGTGTTAACAGTGTTTACATTCATACAGTATCTATGTCATGTATTGTGTCTATACAATTACTGTTAAGTTTTAAGCTCACAAATAAACACATTACAGATACTAACTACCTCTAGTGCCAACAGTTTGTAACTTGCACATGTATATATACATTACATATTCTGACTACAATCTAGTTTGAACAGTTTTAGCAGACATATTTATTTGTAACACATTCATACACATATATAACATATTCTGACTTACACAATATAACATATGCTACATGTTTCTCCTATATGTGTTTTGGAGAAAGGAGATTGATATGGAATGTTTGTAACGAATCTTTTGACAAAACTGATGGATGGGAACACAATATACACAAAAAAATTACTATACCTGAACTTACCCTGTAGAAGATTTCATCAATAACCTCATGATATGTCTTCAGTTCATACAAGTTAACTTTGAAGTAGGGAGACGACTGTATATTTGTCAATATCAGTGGGTTCATGTTCATGGTCTTCTCATTGCCCCATATTGGTAACGGATTGTTGGGTGCCATTCTCTGGCTTGTCAAGCAATTCTCTCAAAAGAGGTATTGGAAACAATGTTTCCTCTGTAAAATAATTATATCACTCATATATCCATAAAAAATTATTACTCATATATATTTTGCATGCTATTTTTAGAACTGTGACTTGTAAACTGAAAGGTACTGAACATGATATCATGCTCTTTAATGGATATATAGTTTAATACTAATAGTACTGATGGCCCGATCTTAAATGGCTCTCTGTTGAATATTTGGACTTAAATGATAAGGGTCCCTGCTGTTTGATCCAGAGACTGATCAGGGCTTGCATTAGACCCTTGCATTGAGAGTATGTTTTTTTTTTACTTATTGGTTCATTTCAATATGTACCAACTCTATAAAAATGTTACTTGTCTTTAATCATAGGAGCCTGAAGTTCTGTCAGTAATGAATAATAATAGTAAAACACAAAAAAACACCTAATATGCTTAAAAATATTTTTAAAGCATATTACGGGTATTTTGGTTTGTTTTACTATTATTGACTATTTACTATTATACTTCAGGCTCCTATGCTTTAATACGGAAGTCGGAACTCAAAAACTCCATACTGATTACTCCCACGTTCAAATTTTATGACACTGATTTTAAAACTGATAACCGCCATGGCCAATACATCTATCAACCACTAACTTGCGTATAATACGCAAACTCGCCTATTATACGCCAATAGGGGTATGGATTTGTTACTAAAAATAGCCAAAATCACTTGAATCTTAACTTTCTCAAATTGTTTGTCCAAGTCGCATTTATTCAGTCATGAAACATAATACAAATGCAAAAATAAAGTTTATTTGTATGTGGCAAAGTACCAAAAATAGATGCAATAATTCCGGTAAAGTTGTATCAAGTTTCTGAACTTGTAGCCAAGGCTTTCAGTAAACATCTTTTAGCAAAATAGTATTTACCTTGTCGTAAATTAATGCGATTTTTAATAATATCTTAAAAGTTACTGTTAAAGCGATTTGTGTTATTTTTTAGTAGCAAATCCATACTTCAACTGGCGTGTGATAGTCGAGTTTGCGTATTATACGCAAGTTGTGGTTTTCCCCAACCTGTCTATTTTATACAAGATTCTTTAACCCGTACTGTAGGTACTTTATTTTACATAAGGCATTTGTTGAAAACTGGGGCAACTGTTGTAAATGGGTTTCTGGGAACACTGTTACATACGTTAAAAAATAGTTAAACTGCTGCAATTTTCATATCGAGGAAGTAATTCATAATCGCTCAATGTTCATTTTGGTACATAAATGCAGGCACTGTAGTGTACAGCACTGCCCTACTGAGGTGTAGGAAACGGAATAGCGTCATTGAATGACATGAATCAATGAGACACACCTTTGGGGACAATGGGGATTTACCAGTGGGTGACAAATTAGTTTACCACGTACGTCTCTCAAATCGTTGATTATCTTAGTTGCCGTTATCTATTTACTTCCATGTGCTTTATCTTCCACTTTCGGTTATTTGGTCCGTTTGCGAAAACGTTTTTCGTACACAGGAAGTTCTCTAAGTGCTTTCAGCGCCCTCTATTCAAGAACCAAGGGAGACGACTTCGTACGGAAAATCACTTCCCAGGGTTGTCGTTCCTTACATTCAGAGTGAAAAAATTCAGAAATAAAGAAAACGATGACAACAATGAGATTCTAGTAACAAAGTTAACGTAATAAATTCTGAAAAAGAATAACAAACTTATGATAGGATATTATGGGACGCAAGAATTGCCGCCTTAGCCTTTTATCTAAGTCCGTGCTTATCCAGAGACGTATATACTTCTCTGATATATCCACATCACATAATAATGAAATGATGACTCTACAAAAAAGGAATCTAGGTCAAAACGGCATCACTGTAAAAACGGCCCTCATGTAAAAACGGCCCTAGTTGAAACGGCCCTATACTTATTAAATCGTGTTATACAATTTGATTGGATTTAAAATGAAGTTACTAGCAACCTGAAACAGATACAATTCAGAATAATGTAAGTACGTTTATGACACTGATGTACGTGTAGTTATTATTTACATAAATTCAAATAAATTGCTAAGTATAACGGGACGTATATATATACATTGATGGGGCAAAAAAGTAATTCCAACAGTGTGGACAAGTTTAGGTTGTCAAATTTTCGGAGCGATCCGCTCCTTTTTCAAGACACAGTGAAACAGAACAGTTACATGTACATATACATCATATTACAAGAAGATACAATTGATATACTATAATTGAAATTATAGCTTTTATATAAAACCAATAGTCCCCTCGGCTAAAGACAGCCGAAGGCAGCAATTCAGCTGAGAGCATCGCGGACAGGTAACGCTGATGTAGAGGACCTATTCTTGCGCAAGATGCACTGTCATATAAAGTGAGTCAACGAGAGATATCAAAAACGTGGAACATGTGCATTTGGAAATCTGGCCCGGTAAATGTGAAAAATCTCCAATCTGCTACGGAATGTCTCATTAGTCGCCTCTCAATACTGCGATGGATCTAAGTCACTGCAGGGGGTCCCACTTAGTCGCCTCTTTTGGTTTGCAGGAATAATGCATGTGCCTCTATTGGTTTGCAGGAATTATGCATGTAATTATCAAATAAGTGAGTGCAGGAGGAATAAGTAGACGAAATGGCTAAGATACTGTATAAATCTGCAAAATAAATCTGACAACGGCTGTTGGTCACACACAATGACATGAAGCAGCAGGCAGGCGAGATAGCAGACCAACTATGCAGTAATGAATCATTAGGTCAAATGCCCCCTGGAAGGAAAACGAGATGGCAACCGATTAGCTTTGCTAAACAGGTTTTGTATCCTCAATAAATAAAGTTTATTATCATTATTATTATTATCATAGGGCAATGATCTATGGCAACAACCTGCATGTCTTTCCAACTATGGCTAGGCATATTAAAATGCCTTGCCACAGGGAAGTCTGGTTTGTTCTGCTTGATGGAGCAGCGGTGGTTGTTTATCCTGACATTGAGCTGGGTGCAGGTATCGCCCACGTACTGTAACTTGCATTTATTGCAGGTAATAAGGTACACCACATTGACTGATGTGCATGTCAGCGTTTGTAGTATGTGATACACTTCGCCGTTGATTGTACATTGAAATGTATCTGTGGAGCACGTGTATGGACACAGTTTGCACACCTTCTTGTTACAGGTATTGAAAGAGCCTTTCGCCGCAGCAGGGTTAGGTGTAGGTAGCTTGCTGCTTACCACAAGATCTCTAATGTGTTTAGGTCTACGATATGCCAGGATAGGAGACTCTGGAAAGATCTGCCTAAGTTTCGCTGAAGATTCGATGATGCGCCGGTGCTTTTTCAAGATAGATGGAAGTGGCGGCATGTCAGGGTGGAACATGACTACACAAGATACCCTTTGTGTATGGGGTCTGACTTTGTATACAAGCAGACTTGCCCTGTCCAGTACCCTCACTTTGTCTATTTCCTAATCTATCAAAGTAGATTTGTATCCTCTGCCAAGAAGATGGAACTTTAACTCTGAACATCTGCTTTCAAAGATGATGTCATCCGAAATAATACGCCTGATGCGCAGAGCTTGGGAGTAGGGTATGCTTCTCGTGGTGTGCGAGGGATGACAACTGGATGGGAGGAGATACTGGTGTGTGTCAGTAGGTTTACAGTGGAGGTCCGTACTAATCTTACCATCAATCAGAGTGAAACTGGTGTCATAAAATGTGTTGCTCTCCGTTGAGATATCCGCTGTGAATTTGATGGTGGAGTGGAACGCGCTAGCGTACTCAATAAACTCGTCAAGGGAGTCCCGACCCGATGTCCATATGATTTTAACGTCATCGATAAATCTCAACCAGATAAATGGCTTAATTGGAGCAGATGTTAAAAGTTGGGCTTCAAGATGTCCCATAAAAACATTAGCATATGAGGGGCCATCTTAGTACCCATGGCTGTACCGCTAACTTGTATGTAGTTATCCTCATTGAATGTAAAGTTGTTAAGTGTGTGGACAAGTCTCAGTAAATCCTCCAGGCTATCAGTCGATGGGTGTTTGGTACTGCACCGTTCCCATGCCTCGCGACATGCTGCAATGCCGCCGTCATGCGGTATGTTAGTGTAGAGGGAAACGACCTCCATCGTAACTAACAAGGTACCTTCTGGTAAGTTCTTAGCAGGTGTTTTGTTTAGATAGTCTGTGGTGTCTTTTAAAAAAGATGGTAAATGTTCTACGAATGGTCGGAGCTGGAAGTCAACAAACTGGGAAATTTTCTCCGTCGGGTGGTTGATCGAGTTAATGATGGGTCTACCAGGGGTACCAGGTTTGTGAATTTTAGGAAGAAGATAAACCTGCTTGAGGGTTTTCGGGGCGCAGGAATTTCGCGGTATCGTTGTCAATATCACCCCTTCTTTAACATTCTATTGATGGTATTATTAATCTGCTGTGCGTGTACGTGCGTCAGGTCACTATCGACCTTATGATAAAATGTCTCGTTGGAGAGTTGCCAATTAGCCTCTTGGATGTAGTCGTCCCTGTTCATTATAACAACTGCACAGCCTTTGTCCGCTGGCTTGATGACAATGTCCGAATTATTTTTCAGGGATTTGAGTGCCTGGCGTTCCAAAGGTGACAGATTGTCCTTGGTTGTCTGCGTGTTGTATAAGTGGACGGTTACTTCCTCCTTCACTGCACTGATGAACGCTTCGAGAGCAGGTACTCTGCTGGGAGGAGGGTTCCATTTACTTTTATGTTTGAATGGATTGATCAGGGGTGCGACGGGAGACTCTTCTGACGGAGTATCCTCTACATCATCTGGGTCAGGGTCTTTAGCAAAGTACACGCGTAGCCGAAGTAGCCTGTTGAATCTGTCCATGTCTTCGATCAGCTCTGCATTGTTGGGGCTTTTGGGGATCGGACAAAAATTAAGATCCTTAGTAAGAAGAGCATGCTCTGGTTCTGTAAGGGTATGGTTTGATAGGTTGACGACTGTATTACTTGTAGTGCTCTTGACAGTTCGGTGTTTACGTCGGAACCTTCTCCCTCTAGCCTTTTTAACAGTGCGACGTGAGTTGATGTCAGTTTCTGGGAGATTGTGAAGCCCATCGCGGTGGATTTTTTTCATTTGTGTATGTCTAAGAGATGTATATTTGAATAATTTGCTAAATACAACGAGACGTATATATATGAACATTGATGTATATTTAAAGAAATTGGCTGTATTGAACTATCAACGTATATCTTCAATGATGGACTAATAAAATATTTTACCTGTAACTGAGCGAGATCGGGTTATCTCAGTCGAGGGTTAAGATTCTGTAACAAAATCACAACCGAGGCGTAAGCCGAGGTTGGGATGTTACAGAATCTTAGCCCGAGACTAAGATGACCCGATCTCACAGGTAATTGATTTTCTTTTGTCTTTTCGTCATTATGTTTTTTCTTTATTTCGTTCCTTGCTATATATCGTTGTTTCGTCTTTTTGTTATATCGTTTTTTCGTTATTTCATTTTTCGGTTTTTCGTTATTTAGCTTTGGCGCTTTGGCGTTATTTCGTTATTTCGCTTTGGCGGGTTTTTGTCTTTTCATTATTTCGTTTTTTCGTTTGGCGTTATTTCATGGGCGACAAAGCGAAAAGACGAAATGTCATATATATGCCACCATATATAATACTGCCGCACACTAAACATTTCGTCGATGCTGGTCTCATGGTTGAATGTCTCATTCAAATTCAAATGATATGTGGAGATTTTGCTATACATCCATCCAATGTATTACACTCTCTGACCAATCCCGTTAATTGTAATTTTATTTGAGTCACTCCGAGGTACTCTGTTAAAACAATAAAGACCCTCAGCCCATATCTAAATTATTATTAGTTATTATTATTGTAAATTTTTAAGATTTTTAATTAATTCGTTTCTCTAAATAATTAAATTGAATTCAATACTGAGGTAGAAAATACTGCCATTGCAAAGGTATTTGAGACTGAGGAGGGTTAACTATCAAACATAATTATAATATTTTTATCTGTACATGTACATATCTTTATTTCTTGAAAGCGCATGCAACTTTATTAACTAATATCAAGTTATGTATTTGTATTATGCACTTGTAGTACTTGCAGTTTTATATAGTATATACCAGAGCCTTAAAAGTGGTGTCGGAACGCAATTTAGAATTTTCATAATTGATTTTCACTGGGAAATGCCCTTTTTTTTTGGGAACTTAAAAAAGTCATATTTTTATTTTTCGATTTCCTTAAATGCATTCGTTAGGTAAATACAAACACCTATACACCCAATGATACTTCACTACAAAGTTTGGTTAAAATCAGTTTATTTATTGACTAGAAAAAGACATTTAACCAAAAGTTATTGGGACAGATGAAGGACATTGCACAACGGAATAAGATCAAATGTCCTAATAACCGTTATTAATTGGATAAATCAGCACCAATCTAATCTTCATTTTTCCATAGAATTCTTTGTCTAGAAAGAGACAAGGCGGGCTGTTAGGAATTTAATCGCCGAGGAGGATGCAGAATATCTCTTGTCAATTTTGAAAGACATGTCTTCTGATGTGTACAACTTATTTAAAGCCCTTTCCCTAAAATAAAACATCTGTATATATTCACTAAATTCAAGAAGGCATATACAATATATGTAACAATGTGAAAATATTGGTGTTTTAATAAAGGCTGTGATAAAATGTTTTTAAATTAAATTAATTGTTGCGCTGCGTATATCGTGCTGTTCGCGTATACATGTGCTGTGTACGATCACTGTGCCGTTTACCTGTGTTGTTTTTGTACACGTGAGTATGTTGTCACCTGTCACTTGTCTTACCTTGTTACGTCCATATAAGGTAATTGTTCTAAATATAGGTGTTACCTCGTTTTCGTTAGTGGTCAGTCCAGTTGTCTTTGTTACATGTTTTGGCGCGGTTTTTAGTATTCCTTCATAGACAGAGCTAAAGGGTGGATGTATTTTATATCCAGAAGTTTTAGTCTTGAAGTCTTTCTCTAGATCTGGTATGTACACATATAGATGTGACAAAGTCTTCTTCTGTAATTGGTGTATGTTAAATTATTATATTAATGAGATTTTGGATAAAGTAGCATTAATTATATTGTGAAATTGTACTTTTTATAAAATTAACAGAATCTTTATCTTACGTACATGTATAATTAATCGATACATAGATAGCTCTTTTTAAAGTAATGTATATATGTATTTATCAACATGATGTAAATTGTGATTTACATGTCTCTTTTACAGAGATGATAGTTTTCGATTGAGAACGCGCGGATACAGATCTTCATTCGTGTAAACCCCCGACCCATAGTTGGGGTAGGTATTTTAATATTGTATGTGATAATGTAAACAAGCGATAATTGATGAGGATAATTGTATTGAATATAATTATGTATAAGTAATTTGTGTAAGTAATTTCAACTATTGATTATGATGAAGTCAGTCATTGTAAAGTTATTCCTATTTTTGAATAACCTATTGTGTGTGAACGGATCAAATATGTATGCACCGAATGTACATGTTAGGAATTATATATGTGAGCGCTGTGTTTCATTATGTAATCAATTGTATTGTGTCTTTGTAGGGTTTTTCGATTATGTTCCACATATTGTGGGAATAAACTGGTAAACAAGAAATCTGCGTCGACCTTGACTTTTCATTCAACTTTACATATACACAACCATTTATTTGTACATATCTTATGAGAGAGAGAGAGAGAGAGAGAGAGAGAGAGAGAGAGAGATTTTAAGAATGTAATTTTAGGTCACCTGAGCTTTAGCTCAAGTGACCTATTGCTATCCGTCTTCGTCCGTCTTCGTCCGTCGTCCGTTAACATTTTACATTTTCAACTTAGGCTGAAATACTGGCAAAGGGATTTCATTAATATTTCATGGGAAGGTTACTGACATCTCCCTGACCAAGTGGTGTTATTTTTCGGGTCGATCAGAAATCCAATATGGCCGCCACGGCCGCCATGATCAGAAATCCAATATGGCCGCCACGGCCGCCATTTTGAAAAACTATTTCAAACTTAAAGTCAAGTTCTACTAGGCTGATTGAACTGAAACTTTGTAGGAATGATCGACTCATGGTCCTGACAAAGTGTTGTTATTTTTCAGGTCAATCAGAAATCCAATATGGCCGCCACGGCCGCCATTTTGAAAAAAGTATTTCAAACTTAAAAACAAGTTATAATAGGCCGATTTAACTGAAACCCGGTCTAGGAATGATCAGCTCATGGTCCTGACAAACTTAAGTTAACGTTATACTTAACTATTTTGTACTCAAATTGGTACATATTTCAACAACAAAAATAAATACTGTAGGACTCAGGTGACCGTTTAGGCCAATGGGCCTCTTGTTTCATAATGTGGACAATCTTTTCCGACACTGACGGCAGAAGTTGACAATATACACTTTCCTAAACATTCTGCTTGTACTATTGTCCATCACTCCCGTGCCTTGGTTTGCTTCCTCCTTGTCATTCCGTTCGTCCTTGAATATCCGTTTCTCTTGTGCCGTCAGCATCGGAAAAGATCGGTACAAAAACATTTAAACTTATATACAGCCTGATTTTTAACTATAACAGAGAGAGATAGAAAGAAGGGAAGGGAGATGGGTAGCTCGGATGATTCAAGCACACATTAAACATTGATTATTTCATGCTTAGAAATAATTTTAAAATATGAAGTTATGTTTAATTATTAAAATTAGTTCTATACTAGGTGTAAAATACTCTAAATTCCTCCCCGAATCAATTTTCATCCCTACTATGTTCTTCCCAGGACACTTTCTTTGCTATCACAAGAGCAGTAAACTTGAAAACACGAAAAAGTCGCAAACAAACACTAGTAATCATATCGGCCGACAGGGACGAATGCCATTTGACACAGTATTTTAGATGTACACGTGCAGTGTGTGTGCTGCAACTTTCACATGCATGATATAAGCATTGATATGAACACGATTATGTGATCGTGTGTAGACACAAGAGGTTATGTGTCGTCAATCCGATCGTGTGTAGACACAAAAGGTTATGTGTCGTCAATCCGATCGTGTGTCGACACACACGTTACTTTTTTAAAGCGTTACTGTATATCGTTTTTGGCCCGAACCGCCACCCGTACTTGTGACCCTGTGCAGAGGCGTGAAAAAAAGTTACAGTGATTAGTTTTGTGTTTTTTTTTGTGTGTGTGCAGGGTATAGGATAAAAAAGTTAAAAGCTGGCGTATGTACTAGCGTGTGATGAGGGCTTCAAGTTTTGGTCGATAACTAGTGAATCATCGATGTGCCGTGTTAATAATTCATATAAAAACGATTTCGGTTCCCCGGATGTTGACTTTTCGTTTCTTGATGAAAACGTCCCTACTACCCAGCGTGTGGTGTTTGATTCAGTATCAGGGATCTAGTGTTTTCATAATAGGAAGCACTATTGGCCAAGTGTTATCATAGTTCAGGAAGCACTATTGGCCAAGTTGTTATCCTAGTTACATGAAGCACTATGGGCCAAGTTGTTATCATAGTTACAGGAAGCACTATGCGCCAAGTGTTATCCTAGTTACATGAAGCACTATGGGCCAAGTTGTTATCCTAGTTACAGGAAACACTATGCGCCAAGTTGTTATCCTAGTTACAGGAATCACTATGGACCAAGTTGTTATCCTAGTTACAGGAAACACTATGCTCCAAGTTGTTATCCTAGTTACAGGAAACACTATGGACCAAGTTGTTATCCTAGTTACAGGAAGCACTATGGGCCAAGTTGTTATCCTAGTTACAGGAAACACTATGCGCCAAGTTGTTATCCTAGTTACAGGAAGCACTATGCGCCAAGTTGTTATCCTAGTTACAGGAAACACTATGGACCAAGTTGTTATCATAGTTACAGGAAGCACTATGGGCCAAGTTGTTATCCTAGTTACAGGAAGCACTATGGGCCAAGTTGTTATCCTAGTTACAGGAAGCACTATGGGCCAAGTTGTTATCCTAGTTACAGGAAGCACTATGGGCCAAGTTGTTATCCTAGTTACAGGAAGCACTATGGGCCAAGTTGTTATCCTAGTTACAGGAAGCACTATGGGCCAAGTTGTTATCCTAGTTACAGGAAGCACTATGGGCCAAGTTGTTATCCTAGTTACAGGAAGCACTATGGGCCAAGTTGTTATCCTAGTTACAGGAAGCACTATGGGCCAAGTTGTTATCCTAGTTACCAGAAGCACTATGGGCCAAGTTGTTATCCTAGTTACAGGAAGCACTATGGGCCAAGTTGTTATCCTAGTTACAGGAAGCACTATGGGCCAAGTTGTTATCCTAGTTACCAGAAGCACTATGGGCCAAGTTGTTATCCTAGTTACAGGAAGCACTATGGGCCAAGTTGTTATCCTAGTTACAGGAAGCACTATGGGCCAAGTTGTTATCCTAGTTACCAGAAGCACTATGGGCCAAGTTGTTATCCTAGTTACAGGAAGCACTATGGGCCAAGTTGTTATCCTAGTTACAGGAAGCACTATGGGCCAAGTTGTTATCCTAGTTACCAGAAGCACTATGGGCCAAGTTGTTATCCTAGTTACCAGAAGCACTATGGGCCAAGTTGTTATCCTAGTTACGAGAAGCACTAAGATTAAGTACTTCAGTTAAAGGAACCACTGTACTTCATGTCGGTATATAGTTCTGTAGTAACAAAAGCTGTATGGGTCAAGTTTTAACTTACGTTACAGGAAAACACTTTTGTCACCTGGTTTTAGTTTCAGGAAGTACTATGGTCAAGCTGCTCTATAGTTTGGTCAAATTATTGTATAGTTACAGGAAACACTATTGTTGATGTGGTCTTACCTTGGTCAAGTGTAGTTAGCGAATCACCACTAAGTAACCCGAGTACAAGTAAACAAAACAAGAGACATGAATAACAAAACAAACATGTCATTTTTGATAATTTCGTTTAATACATTATCTATAGCATTATAACATGGTCTGAGAAAACAACCCCCACCTCTATCACATAACAACTAATCACATACATGACCCAGACCACTATAACACCTGACCTCTGACATGACCTGAGGTTACAGATCTCTATAACACCTGACCGCTGACATGACCAATCTTTTTTAACTCCATGGGGAGCATACAGCCATTGCTGCCACTTTGGCGCTCACAGCTAGCATTTAACAATCCTAGCACTGCTCAACCAACTACTCAATTACAGTCGAGTAGACTGACACAAGTGAAGTAAGTATCTTGTTCAAAGATACAGCACAGTGCCGTGCTGTCACTCGAGCCCACAACCCTTCGGTCAAGAACCCAGCGTCCTACCACTAGACTACCATGCCTCCTACCTAATCACAGACATGACCTGAGGTTACAAACCTCTATGACACCTGATCACCGACATGACCTTAGGTTACAGACCTCTATAACATCTGATCACAGACATGATCTGAGGTTACAGATCTCTATACCACCTGATCACAGACATGACCTGAGGTTACAGACCTCTATAACACCTGACCACAGACATGACCTTAGGTTACAGACCTCTATAACACCTGATCACAGACATGATCTGAGGTTACAGACCTCTATACCACCTGACCACTGACATGACCTGAGGTTACAGACCTCTATAACACCTGATCACAGACATGATCTGAGGTTACAGATCTCTATAAGACCTGATCACTGACATAACCTGAGGGTAATGACCTCTATGACACCTGATCACTGACATAACCTGAGATTACATACCTCTATAACACCTGACCACTGACATGACCTTAGGTTACATACCTCTAAACACCTGATTACAGACATGAAATGAGGTTACATACCTCTATAACACCTGATCACAGACATGACCTTAGGTTACAGACCTCTATAACACCTGACCACAGACATGATCTGAGGTTACAGATCTCTATAACACCTGACCACTGACATGACATGAGGTTACATACCTCTATAACACCTGATCACAGACATGACCTTAGGTTACAGACCTCTAAACACCTGACCACAGACATGATCTGAGGTTACAGATCTCTATAACACCTGACCACTGACATGACATGAGGTTACATACCTGTATCACACCTGATCACAGACATGTCCCATTGTTACATCCAGACCTGTATTACATCAGCTTTACCAATAACTACCTGTGTACATACCACATGTTAACATGCTATCCCCTATGTACATCATTTAACTCCATTATCAAATAAGTTTGTATAACAATTATATATCATACTATATAATCTATACAGGTGATGTAGTATATTTCACTGCTGTCACAGCTGTGTTTTACCGTTATATGTATATGATGATGTAATGTGTATAGATTCAATATAAAATAGTAAAATACAAAACAGCACCGTGACCAGTTACAGACAAGCTTTCTCCTAACAGGCCTTGGTTTTAGGTCAAGCTTCCTCCTAACAGGCCTTGGTTTTAGGTCAAGCTTCCTCCTAACAGGCCTTTGTTTTAGGTCAAGCTTCCTCCTAAAAGGCCTTTGTCGCGTGCTGATTGGCAAACAAAGTAGTACTTTGACATTTTAACAAACACTTCAATTTTATTCCACAATTCAGTATCAATACAATTGCGTATGATATGTCTATAGGGTAATTTAAGTTTATCAATAGAACGCTGAGTTAAAAGTTAAATTTGAAATTGTTTCGATTTTTCCCCGGAACAAATTTCGCGCATGGATAAATCCGACTGTGCCCTCCACGAGGGAATAATTTTGGGAAGTTAATTCGAACTTTTCTCTTTGCTCATTTATTTGTTGATTGTATGGGAATCTGACTACAGTCTGTAGATTCTATAACAACCTCGTTATTTGACATGTCGTCAGCAACTGAGGAAACCGTGGCTGCGAGACGTGTGAAACTGATAGCGTTTGAAGTGACTGATCTTGCGACGGAGCACAGGGGTTGGTTACAAATGTCTGAAATGTTTATGTACTGTGACTCATATCAGTAGGTCTGTAACATATGTGTCAGTAGGTCTATAGAATATGTGTATTTCAGACGATATTTCTGATACATTGCATGAGCCTTAAAATTGTTTTCATTGCTGGCATTGGTGATTTCAACCGATGTGTATTTTGTATGATATGGACCTTGGTCTTGTTTTTGTTGTAATAAAAGTATATTTTTATTTCATTTTTTATTTTGCACATAAATTTACAATAACATTGTCAAGTCTCACAATGCCCAGCGATATTTCAGCAGCCGTCATGTTTATTTACATTGGATATTCTAGTTCCGGTCAGTGTTGTATTAATACGCTAAGAATTGTGTCTCGTGATGCATGGTAATTAAAGTCCCATCAACGACACAGCCTCCAAAGAGGCTATATAGTGACAATGCCATGCAAATGTAAATATGGCATTATAAACTAATTTATCATTATAAGCTTCATTCTGTAGCATTATAAACTATTTTAGTATTATATTTATTCAGTGTTTGGGTTCAGATATCCAGAATCAACTTCATATGTAATGTTTTTTGTTGAAATGAGACAATTTAATATAATAAAAAAAAAGGGAGACTCGGAACCTCTGTAAAAAGTTGTTTGGCAAAAGTGTTAGAGACAAGGTTTACTAAAACAGGTCTCAGACACACTAGTGGAATAACAAGTATAACATCAGGTACATACAGCTTAACAAAGTCGTACATCAACACAATAACAGTTATATAACATACAGCTTAACAAAGTCGTACATCAGAACAATAACAGTTATACAACACACAGCTTAACAAAGTCGTACATCAGAACAATAACAGTTATATAACATACAGCTTAACAAAGTCGTAAATCAGAACAATAACAGTTATATATCATACAGCTTAACAAAGTCGTACATCAACACAATAACAGTTATATAACATACAGATTAACAAAGTCGTACATCAGAACAATAACAGTTAAATAACATACAGCTTAACAAAGTCTTACATCAGAACAATAACAGTTATTTAACATACAGCTTAACAAAGTCGTACATCAGAGCAATAACAGTTATATAACATACAACTTAACAAAGTCGTACATCAGAACGATAACAGTTATATAACATACAGCTTAACAAAGTCGTACATCAACACAATACACCAGTGTTAATATTAATAGTATTATTTTACACATCAGTGTAAAAGCAAAATAAGTGTATACACAAAATAATCTACATACTCAATGTTTACATATAAACATACACACTGAGTGTGCATTACGTATACATGTACACAAACATAAATTGTGTAAACATTGTAATTTAAGATACACACGAAGTGTATGAGAACAGAATATATACAAACTTTACAAATAAATGAAAATATATGTACTTTATTGCAGTGTACACATCAAGTATTGACACAAATATAAATCAAAGTATATATATGCACAAAATATTCAATGTATATACCAGGTATGTATATAGAATACTAAGTATCTACACACAAAGTATATATATACCAGGTATGAATATAGAATACTAAGTATCTACACACAAAGTATATATATACCAGGTATGAATATAGAATACTAAGTATCTACACACAAAGTATTTATATACCAGGTATGTATATAGAATACTAAGTATATACACACAAAGTATATATATACCAGGTATGTATATAGAAAACTAAGTATCTACACGCAAAGTATATATATACCAGGTATGTATATAGAAAACTAAGTATCTACACGCAAAGTATATATATACCAGGTATGTATATAGAATACTAAGTATACACAGAGATACATAACTTTCATGAATGATAGGGAGACAACTCTGACTGAGGGAGATAACTCTGCCTAAGGGAGATAACTGACCAATCAAAGGGAACTAACTCTTGACAGATTTGTACATTCCTGCATGGCAAGCACAGAACACTAGTTAAAGAAACAACATAAAAGGGACAGCTAATATATAGGGTCAGTTAATCATTATATAGGGTCAGTTAATTATCAAATAGGGTCATTTAATCATTATATAGGGTAAGTTAATCATTATATAGGGACAGTTAAGTTAGATGTATTGATAATAAATAGTCTGTTCTGTGAACACTATCTCCTACCTTTATCCAGAAGACAATGATCCTATCACACAAACCATGTGACTTTCATCATTAATCTTTGTACATTACAATATTAAACATCGCTAGGATTTCAGTGAACATTTCATGACTAGAATAAACAATTTTTTATTTTGTATTGTGTTACTATAAACATACCATGTAAATTTAATCATTTCCCACAGAAAATGTAAACAGTAAGAAAAATCAGCAATACATCTGTGATGACAGACAGATGGATTTTAAACCCTGTAAATGATGAAGATAAAACAAAACACAGGTACTTGGTGACTGACAACACAGGTACTTCGTTACTGACAACACAGGTACTTGGTGACTGACAGCACAGGTACTTCGTAACTGACAACACAGGTACTTGGTGACAGACAACACAGGTACTTCGTAACTGACAACACAGGTACTTGGTGACTGACAACACAGGTACTTCGTAACTGACAACACAGGTACTTGGTGACTGACAACACAGGTACTTGGTGACTGACAGCACAGGTACTTCGTAACTGACAACACAGGTACTTGGTGACTGACAACACAGGTACTTCGTAACTGACAACACAGGTACTTGGTGACTGACAACACAGGTACTTGGTGACTGACAGCACAGGTACTTCGTAACTGACAACACAGGTACTTGGTGACTGACAACACAGGTACTTCGTAACTGACAACACAGGTACTTAGTGACAGACAACACAGGTACTTGGTGACTGACAACACAGGTACTTCGTTACTGACAACACAGGTACTTGGTGACTGACAGCACAGGTACTTCGTAACTGACAACACAGGTACTTGGTGACAGACAACACAGGTACTTCGTAACTGACAACACAGGTACTTGGTGACTGACAACACAGGTACTTCGTGACTGACAACACAGGTACTTGGTGACTGACAGCACAGGTACTTCGTAACTGACAACACAGGTACTTGGTGACTGACAACACAGGTACTTCGTAACTGACAACACAGGTACTTGGTGACTGACAACACAGGTACTTCGTAACTGACAACACAGGTACTTGGTGACTGACAACACAGGTACTTCGTAACTGACAACACAGGTACTTGGTGACTGACAACACAGGTACTTGGTGACTGACAACACAGGTACTTCGTTACTGACAACACAGGTACTTGGTGACTGACAGCACAGGTACTTCGTAACTGACAACACAGGTACTTGGTGACAAACAACACATGTAGTTACTGACAACACAGGTACTTGGTGACTGAAAACACAGGTACTTAGTGACAGACAACACAGGTACTTGGTGACTGAAAACACAGGTACTTGGTAACTGAAAACACAGGTACTTGGTGACTGAAAACATAGGTACTTAGTGACTAGACAACACTATTACTCAATGATTAAAAGCAACCATAGATATCATTCCTGAATTGAGAGTCTTCGTTAAAACTCCAAACATCAATTATTACCCAGTATGTACAAGGTTAGGCCCTTTCATTATTGTTAAATTCTGTTTCTTATTACTTCTTATTATTAATCTTGATGTGAAAAACAGTGATTGACTACATGTGCTACACATCTTTTGAACCTATTAAGACAATGCTATAAAATACAATAAAATAAATGCATGTCATAATAGTTCACACTATATGTCCTTTGTGACTCTGTAAGGAATAAGCACCTAATCTAGTTACCAACACAAAAGTGGCTCCCTACACACCATTGTGGGTCCATATCTACACACACTAATATTGGTCCAGTTACCTACACTCTTGAATTTTTCATTCTTAGTGATCTAGCATGCCTGGTGACCTTGTGTCTATGGCCTTGAACCTATGTGTGGGGTCGGGAGGAGGCACTGTGGAAGGAGAAGTTGCTGCTCTGACTATTGTGGGAAGAGGTGGAGGATAGCCTCCCTCTCATGTAGGACGGCAGGCGTGTCAGTTTGGTCTTGGGACATATCTCAACAATCGGCTCATTGGTCCAAAGGCGCTGAAAATCAACAAATAAAATTATTCACATACAGCTCATGTCCAGCATGTGTCTTTCAGTGTGGGTTTTAACATAGCTCTAGGCTTCCAGTGTGGGTTTTAACATATAGACCTAGGCTTCCAGTGTGGGTTTTAACATAGTTCTAGGCTTCCAGTGTGGGTTTTAACATAGACCTAGGCTTCCAGTGTGGGTTTTAACATAGACCTAGGCTTCCAGTGTGGGTGTTAACATAGACCTAGGCTTCCAGTGTGGGTTTTAACATAGCTCTAGGCTTCCAGGTTATTTATATGTTATACTGGAGGCTATTAGGTATATAGGTGAGATAGGAAAACAGCCAACAGAAACAGCCTTTAACGATCCATCTCCTTTAATTAAAGTCAGTGCTGATAGGTTACACTCATTTATAAGAATTAACAGTTGTGTATACATGAATTAATATTGATATGTCTACATAAGTTGTGAATACTTTGTTGTTTAAATCCACAACCATCAAACAGGTCTAAAACAAGTGTTGTCATGCTATTTCAATGATAAAGTGTACATCACTGAATAATGACCTCATTTGGATCTTGTCTCCATTTCAACGCTGCCTCATCATCACCATAGCAACCAGAGAAACTCAACAATACTGGCGAACCATTGCAGCTGAAAAAACAATAATTTACATTGTTACATTAATCAACCGACAATAAAACAGCCACATGGTATAACAAGGCGTACATCCTCAACAAATATTTACTTAATTCTTCCCATTTCATGCTTCAATGATCTCAAAATTACTCAATACTTGTCACGTTACAATTAGACAAATTATTGTGAAAGTGGAAATGTTCACCTGTGGAAATGCTCATGTTTCTGTCATGAGAAAATAAGTACAAAAATATCCACATGTAAAAATTTATAAAATATATGTTTATACAGATTTCAAAACCATTGCCAATGCCAAAATTCCACACCACAATCCGTTTAAACGTCAGAACGTAAACATATCCACATGTACCTGGTAAATGTCCACTTTTACAGTATACAGATGAGAGTTGTTACCTGGTCTTAAGGAAGCTCCTCACAGGTTTGTCTGCAATCTTCACCTTCATCTGTAGACTGAGTTCCGTGGTGAAGAACACCTCTGGGGTTGTACTACACAGGGAGGCAGAGCTGGCTGAATGGCTGATTATGCTCTGTACTGGCACCAGACGTTTCCCCATACCCACACTGTCCGTGTCCTCATCAGCCTGCGATGGGGTGGAGATGTTCTCGTAACTTGACCACAGCGAACTTGGGCGGCTGCTGATGCTTGGCGTTCGCAAGAAGTCTTGTACTTTCTGGTCCGCTGAACTGATTGGACTTCCTGAAGACTGCTTGCCACAGCTGTAGAGGTCCCCCCAATCTATCATCTCACGTCGCTTGCCACTCAGTGACAGTTTACGACTTACCAGGGTGTGTGTCTGCATCTGGTCCAGCAAGCGAGGCTCGGAGGACGAGACTGAGGGACTGGCACTCACTGATAATGACCAATTGTCCATCCTGATCAGATCTGCTTGACTGACTTTGTTAGTGTCTATTCCATGAAACAGCACTCCATCTAAACTGCTCTGTCTACTGTCCAGACTCAGCAGTCTGGAATTGAACTGACTCAAGTTGATCTGTCTCCCGTCTAGACTGTTCTGCCTAGAGTTGAAATAGCTCATGTCGCTGATTGATCCACACCGTGAGTTATGTTTGGACATGTCCATTTCACTGTCAGTTTCTATGTGCAGACCAGAGAAGTCCAGGCGATATTTCAGTTCAGGATTACTGGAAATGACATGATTGTCTACCACTTTGTCACTGACACTACTGACCCCTTCAGACTCAAGGGAGTCACATCGGAACATCTTTTTCATAGAGTCAAAACTAGGGTCGGGGTTCACTGCATCACACACATCACTCTGTCCCTCCTCAAGGGAAGCAGCTAGCTCTGAACTGTGGGAAACTTCCTCATCCGCAACATAGTACACCTCCTCTGAGGAGCTAGACTTTGGTTTCTGCAATAAGAGGATCTCCTCCTCAGATGCTTGACCATTGGTCAGTTCAAAATCAACATTTGTCTCCTGAGTGTGTTCCCTGGTCTTATCAGATACAGCAGACATATCCCTTTCCACTGGTCCCTCTAGTGAACTCAGCCATTTGTTGACCTTGTGATGGCGGGACATGACTTTGTTCAATTGGGAGTGGTCAATGTCGTTCAAGGTGAGAGTGTCTTGTAGGACAGGGAAGGCCTCACCCTCTGCCAAAGTGTTTGCTGCTACTTCCGCTTCAGACAGACAATTATTGTCAGCCACATTACGATCTGTTTCACATGCTCTGTCCTCACTTGGATATAGAACATCCTCAGATTTATTGCCATGGCAACTTAAATCTTTTGAAAGGCAAGCATCATGACTCTTAGGTTCCTTCAGATCACACTGATAAGGGTCTTTGCATGCTGGTCCACTTTTAGACTCGGAATCTTCGTTGTTTTGTAACATTGGAGGCTTCAGTTGTACAACACCAACTTTCCTTTGTCTGGTAGAATCCTCACTCATAGTCTGTTGTGATATTTGGCTGACATTTTCAACACTTTCTTGATTCCCCTTTATGTTTTCAGTATCATCAAAACTATGTATTGATCCCAAACTCTCTGGTGACCCAGCCAAATCTAGAGACTCTATTTTTGTGACATCTGTCGAGTGTGTGCCGTTAGTGATATCTCTGGCCTTCTGTGTTGTACCACTCTTTCTGTATCCTTTTAGGCTCTCCCTCTGGGGTCTATGCTTACATGATGTCTTTGTGCTGTTTTTACGAACACTTTCCTCACTGGAGGAGTGTTCCATGACTGCCAGAGGCTTGTCCACCTCTGTACTGGCCTGCCTACCACTACCTTCGCTGGTGTTTCCTCTGGAGTTTGAGCTGTTCGCCTGGCCTGCCTTTGCCCTTGGAGACAACATTCTTGGTGTACTGGTTCCTGTCGAGGCAGCGTCTGACGTGGTGGTTGTGCTTACCTGATTGGATGAGGTGGCTGGACTAGTCACATGACTCTCATTGACCAATGACTTACTAGTACGAACAGCCTTATCTCCTGCCAGAGAAACTTTCTCCTTCGTTCGACATCCACCATTTACACGTGGATCACCAGCACAACGGGAGAATTTCTTCTTGACACTGAAGGGGGGTACTGGATTGCTGAGGAGGCTGGACATGGTTTCTGTGGAGGGTGACTGGTCAGTTGGTGTTTTCAAGTTGGCCTGTTCTGACACTTCATAGATGATGAGGTTGCCCTCCCCTGTGCCCACCCAGACACACTGACCAATGTCCACCACAGCTGTGATCCGCGCCCGATTGAAGTAAGTGTCATCCTCCTACACAAAGATACAATAAATAAATGTGTAAAGAGTTTGTTAGGGAATTATCAACACAGATGAAGTCATTAGGGCCAATCAATGGCTGATAAAACATGTTAAAGAAAATGTCATCAAACAAACAAAAAGGTAAAAGACCTTCAACTTGGAAAGTAAATGTGGCTATGGTAAGCTATACATTTATGTGGCTATGGTAAGCTATATATTTATGTGGCTATTGTAAGCTGTATATTTATGTGGCCGTGGTAATCTGTATATTTATGTGGCTATGATAAGCTATACATTCATGTGGCTATGGTAAGCTATACATTTATGCATGTAGGCTATGGTAAGCAATATATTTATGTGGCTATGGTAAGATGTATATTTATGTGGCTATTGTAAGCTGTATATTTATGTGGCTGTGGTAATCTGTATATTTATGTGGCTATGGTAAGCTATATATTTATGTGGCTATGGTAAGCTGTATATTTATGTGGCTATGGTAAACTATATATTTATGTGGCTATGGTAAGCTATATATTTATGTGGCTATTGTAAGCTGTATATTTATGTGGCTATGGTAAGCTATACATTTATGTGGCTATGGTAAGCTGTATATTTATGTGGGTATGGTAAGCTATATATTTATGTGGCTATGGTAAGCTGTATATTTATGTGGCTATGGTAAGCTATACATTTATGTGGCTATGGTAAGCTGAATATTTATGTGGCTATGGTAAGTTTTACATTTATGTGGCTATGGTAAGCTATACATTTATGTGGCTATGGTAAGCTATATATTTATGTGGCTATGGTAAGCTATATATTTTTGAAAAGACCACCATTTTTCAGGTCGTTTATAATTGTAGAGACACCAATAGTTTCGAAAAGAGATTTAAAATTTCATCAATGACCAATCAAGAGAAGGGCAACAAGAAAAATGCCTTCCTAATTAGTAAACTTTCTATTGTGTTTATCTGGTGTAACTGGAGTGTGGGTATTGTTCAGAATCAGCCTTCTGAGACGTAGTTGTGATGACATATTACCTTTCTCAATTGTGGGTAGCGGTCAGTACGAGTGTCGTACAACATCTTACAGTTAAGGGTTTTGGGGTCCCAGAGTTCCAAGATGGATGACCCTCGCAGGATGATCCAAACACCATACTGTCCTTCAATCAGGGACAGGATGTGGTCATATGGGTTTACAGACACTGTAAAATTGTCCATGGTATCCAGGGTCCTACAAAATATTTAAATTTTATGATGTTGTTTAAAAGTTGTACCCCCTCTCCCGTAGGTATCTCAACACCCTGAACATATTTGATACATGTGGGTATGTTTTTAACTGACCTGGCATGTATGATGCTGACAGTGTTACCACTAGCTGTCCACAGCTGGTCTCCTAGCAACAGGAGACATGAGATGGGAGCTTGACCAATGGGGATATACATGATGTCGCTGTCAGGGATTGTCTTCTCCAGGTTACTTTGCTGCAAGACACAACGAAAGGAACCAGTGTCAAGTAACAAATCTTATTGATGAAGTGGAATTATAGATTTGGACAAAAATGATTGAAGATATCCAAATGTTTAAAATGAAACAAAAACAGAACATGGAACCATTATTCTCTACATTTGTTTGTATATCTAACAACACAAACTTTCAGTGTCAATAAGAAACTTTTCCTCATAATTCTTATTTTCATCTTGTGAATCTCCTGACTATTTCAGAGTTATTTGCCCCTAGCACAGCCGTGGGATGACAGCTATATAACTACCTCCATAACAGCCAGGGTGCCATCAGCCAGCCCCGCAAAATGTCTGGTCACTATGCCCTCTTTGTCGTCATAGCAACACAGCGAAAGGATGGCATCATGGAGCTGTAGCTTCCAGAGATTGTCCCTGAAACACGTTTGCATTCTGATGTCAGTATTCCTATACTTACTATCCTAATTCAACTTTGACATATATATTACAGCTGTGGGTGTGTGATGGTTGAGAGGGGAGAAAAATAACTTGTTATTTCTCACTCTTATTTGTCATGTATTATTTATAGGATTTAATAGAATATTAGTGGACGCAGGCATTGCTGCCTCTTTATCCACATCAATATACCGGTAATTTGAAAAACAATGTGGTAAACATAAACTAAGTATAGCTCCATGTATTGAGATCACTATGATTATTTTGCTATTATAAGTGTTAATTATCTTTGTGTTTTTAGAAAATATCTAGTTTTGCTATTGCATTGTAAACATTTGTTAGAGCTAAGAGTAAAAAGGTTACTTGGTTTGAGACATAACCAGTATAAAAATTAGTAATTTAAAAATCACATTTATGAACTTACTTGAGCAGGTCTTATTTAATGTGTTACAATGTTTGTTGGGAAAGCTTACCATGTTATTGTGTTTACCTTGTTTTGGTGTTGTAGGCATGCAACATCCAGGAAAGAGTACCAAGCAAAACGATGTTGTTATTAACTGGGTACAGACACATAACTCGTGAGTCAAACTGTAAAATAGAGTACAGACATATCACTCGTGAGTCAAACTGTAATATAGGGTACAGACACATCACTCGTGAGTCAAACTGTAAAATAGAGTACAGACAAATCACTCGTGAGTCAAACTGTAATATAGGGTACAGACACATCAATCGTGAGTCAAACTGTAATATAGGGTACAGACACATCTCGTGAGTCAAACTGTAATAATAGAGTACAGACACATCACTCGTGAGTCAAACTGTAATATAGGGTACAGACACATCAATCGTGAGTCAAACTGTAATATAGGGTAGAGACACATCACTCATGAGTCAAACTGTAATAATAGAGTACAGACACATCCCTCGTGAGTCAAACTGTAATATAGGGTAGAGACACATCACTCATGAGTCAAACTGTAATATAGGATAGAGACACATCACTCATGAGTCAAACAGTCATATAGGGTACAGACACATCACTCATGAGTCAAACTGTAATAATAGAGTACAGACACATCCCTCGTGAGTCAAACTGTAATATAGGGTACAGACACGTCTCGTGAGTCAAACTGTAATAATAGAGTACAGACACATCACTCGTGAGTCAAGCTGTAAAATGGAGTACAGATAGATCACTCGTGAGTCAAACTGTAAAATAGAGTACAGACATATCACTCGTGAGTCAAAGTGTAAAATAGGGTACAGACACATCACTCTTGAGTCAAACTGTAATATAGGGTACAGACACATCAATCGTGAGTCAAACTGTAAAATAGAGTACAGACGCATCACCCATGAGTCAAACTCTAGTATAAAGTACAGACACATCACTCGTGAGTCAAACTGTAAAATGGAGTACAGATAGATCACTCGTGAGTCAAACTGTAAAATAGAGTACAGATATATCACTTGTGAGTCAAACTGTAATATAGTGTAGAGACACATCACTTGTGAGTCAAACTGTAATAAAGAGTACAGACATATCACTCGTGAGTCAAACTGTAAAATGGAGTACAGATAGATCACTCGTGAGTCAAACTGTAATACAGAGTACAGACACATCACTCGTGAGTCAAACTGTAATATAGGATACAGACATATCACTCGTGAGTAAAACTGTAGTATTAAGTACAGACACATCACTTGTGAGTCAAACTGTAATAAAGAGTACAGACATATCACTCGTGAGTCAAACTGTAAAATGGAGTACAGATAGATCACTCGTGAGTCAAACTGTAATACAGGGTAGAGACACATCACTCGTGAGTCAAACTGTAATATAGGATACAGACATATCACTCGTGAGTAAAACTGTAGTATTAAGTACAGACACATCACTTGTGAGTCAAACTGTAATAAAGAGTACAGACATATCACTCGTGAGTCAAACTGTAAAATGGAGTACAGATAGATCACTCGTGAGTCAAACTGTAATACAGGGTAGAGACACATCACTCGTGAGTCAAACTGTAATATAGGATACAGACATATCACTCGTGAGTAAAACTGTAGTATTAAGTACAGACACATCACTTGTGAGTCAAACTGTAATAAAGAGTACAGACATATCACTCGTGAGTCAAACTGTAAAATAGAGTACAGACACATCACCCATGAGTCAAACTCTAGTATAAAGTAGAGACACATCACTCGTGAGTCAAACTGTAATATAGGATACAGACATATCACTCGTGAGTAAAACTGTAGTATTAAGTACAGACACATCACTTGTGAGTCAAACTGTAATAAAGAGTACAGACATATCACTCGTGAGTCAAACTGTAAAATAGAGTACAGACACATCACCCATGAGTCAAACTCTAGTATAGAGTACAGACACATCACTCGTGAGTCAAACTGTAATATAGGATACAGACATATCACTCGTGAGTAAAACTGTAGTATTAAGTACAGACACATCACTTGTGAGTCAAACTGTAATAAAGAGTACAGACATATCACTCGTGAGTCAAACTGTAAAATGGAGTACAGATAGATCACTCGTGAGTCAAACTGTAAAATAGAGTACAGATATATCACACGTGAGTCAAACTGTAAAATGGAGTACAGATAGATCACTCGTGAGTCAAACTGTAATACAGGGTAGAGACACATCACTCGTGAGTCTGTAATATAGGATACAGACATATCACTCGTGAGTAAAACTGTAGTATTAAGTACAGACACATCACTTGTGAGCCAAACTGTAATATATGGTACAGACACATATCTCGTGAGTCAAACTATAATAAACGGTACAGACACATATCTCGTGAGTCAAACTATAATAAACGGTACAGACACATTACTCATGAGTCAAACTGTAGTAGTTAGCCTACCTCTAAGTTGATGTCGTACATCAGGCCTTCTTCACACGTGATCTTTGAGACTTTTCCAACATTCTGATCACCATAGCAGACCCAAACTTTACCTAACAACAATAACTCGGTTTGGTAAGAACGGTAGTTTGAAAATGTACACAGATTGTTTTTGTTGAAACCAAAAAAAACACTATTTAAAGAATGATTTTATAGCTGTATTCTTCTGAGGGGGCAGATTTGTTCCACAAAAATATTCTATTTATGGCATTTACAATGCAAAAGTTATCTTAAACATTCAATGTTGTAAAAACCCTTTGGTGGCCATGACTGGTAAAATGGATAAGTTAACAGATGTCATCAGATTTGGTAGATTTTTACCTGTACCGGAGAGTAACGTCATTATAAAAAGGGATGGAGATCATAATTTGAATGTTTTAGAAAGTGAGATTACACTACCTGTACATTTTGTGCAGTTGTTTTCAGATCATTTAAAAAATTTGTAATTAGTAACGTAATTTTAGACAGACATTTTATTATGTGAAGTATTACTTTCCTACACTTACCATCCTCCAAGGCTACTGCAGACCCGATGCCCATGTAGTTACCAGTTTCATTCTCCATCTTAAGATACTACAACAGGAATACAATTTCATATTAATCTGTCATAGCAAAAGCATTATGTGAGTATCAATGTAATATCTATAGTTATCATTATATAACAGAACACTCAGCCTATGTAACGCTGTATTATACGACTCTATCATATATGACATAAATATCCCAAACAAGGGAAGCTCGGCAAAAAACCTGACTTGCAGAGCATTGGTTGGATATTTCTACCTTACATAATTTACGCATTGTAGAGTTATTTTATTATATCACTTATGAATTTATTTCTTTGAGGTTTGTATGCACCATCTTGGGGAATATATCACCTTCTTTAATAGTGAACTGATTTATGAATTTACCTGTATACCGCTGCAGCTTAGTTTATAAACATAAATAAAATACTCGAACTTAAAAATTAAATTCAACAAAGTAGATTGAGGTAGGACATTTGGTCAACCCATTATTGGTGTATGGTGTACATACCAGGTGTTCGCGTTCAGTGTACATACCAGGTGTTCGCGTTCAGTGTACATACCAGATGTTCGCGTTCAGTGTACATACCAGGTGTTCGCGTTCAGTTTACATACCAGGTGTTCGCGTTCAGTGTACATACCAGGTGTTCGCGTTCAGTGTACATACCAGATGTTCGCGTTCAGTGTACATACCAGATGTTTGCGTTCAGTGTACATACCAGGTGTTCGCATTCAGTGTACATACCAGGTGTTCGCGTTCAGTGTACACCAGGCGCTGGAGTTCTTTCTGCTTGTTCTTGTCCATCAGTGTCTTCAGGTAACAGGCCTGCTTGGTTGCCATGTCCTGACGCCTAGGAAACCCTTTTATATCCTCAAAGGCAACCTACAAGTCAAAGAAGTTTTCCAAACATCAGACTTAATATCAAAATAATTTATAATAATCTGATATAATATCTTACAATGGCAACTGTTATCACATAGTGTTGTTACCAAACCTGTCACTTGTTATGTAGTGTTGTCACCAAACCTGTTACTTGTTTTTACATAGTGTTGTCACCAAACCTGTCACTTGTTATGTAGTGTAGTCACCAAACCTGTGACTTGTTGTTATATAGTGTTGTTACCAAACCTGTCACTTGTTGTTACATAGTGTTGTTACCAAACCTGTCACTTGTTGCGTAGTGTTGTCACCAAACCTGTCACTTGTTGTTACGTAGTGTTGTCACCAAACCTGTGACTTGTTATGTAGTGTTGTTACCAAACCTGTCACTTGTTGTTACATAGTGTTGTCACCAAACCTGTGACTTGTTATCACATAGTGTTGTTACCAAACCTGTCACTTGTTACGTAGTGTTGTCACCAAACCTGTGACTTGTTATGTAGTGTTGTCACCAAACCTGTGACTTGTTGTTACGTAGTGTTGTCACCAAACCTGTCACTTGTTATGTAGTGTTGTCACCAAACCTGTCACTTGTTGTTACGTAGTGTTGTCACCAAACCTGTGACTTGTTATGTAGTGTTGTCACCAAACCTGTCACTTGTTGTTACGTAGTGTTGTCACCAAACCTGTGACTTGTTATGTAGTGTTGTCACCAAACCTGTCACTTGTTGTTACGTAGTGTTGTCACCAAACCTGTGACTTGTTATGTAGTGTTGTCACCAAACCTGTCACTTGTTGTTACATAGTGTTGTCACCAAACCTGTGACTTGTTATGTAGTGTTGTCACCAAACCTGTCACTTGTTGTTACGTAGTGTTGTCACCAAACCTGTGACTTGTTATGTAGTGTTGTCACCAAACCTGTCACTTGTTGTTACATAGTGTTGTCACCAAACCTGTGACTTGTTATGTAGTGTTGTCACCAAACCTGTCACTTGTTGTTACGTAGTGTTGTCACCAAACCTGTGACTTGTTATGTAGTGTTGTCACCAAACCTGTCACTTGTTGTTACATAGTGTTGTCACCAAACCTGTCACTTGTTATGTAGTGTTGTCAACAAACCTGTCACTTGTTGTTACATAGTGTTGTCACCAAACCTGTGACTTGTTGTTACTAAGTGTTGTCACCAAACCTGTGACTTGTTGTTACGTAGTGTTGTCAACAAACCTGTCACTTGTTACTAAGTGTTGTCACCAAACCTTTCACTTGTTGTTACTAAGTGTTGTCACCAAACCTGTCACTTGTTATGTAGTGTTATCAACAAGCCTGTCACTGGTTATGTAGTGTTGTCACCAAACCTGTCACTTGTTGTTACATAGTGTTGTCACCAAACCTGTGACTTGTTGTTACGTAGTGTTGTCAACAAACCTGTCACTTGTTGTTACATAGTGTTGTCAACAAACCTGTCACTTGTTACGTAGTGTTGTCACCAAACCTGTGACTTTTTGTTACATAGTGTTGTCACCAAACCTGTCGCTTGTTGTTACATAGTGTTGTCACCAAACCTGTCACTTGTTATGTAGTGTTGTCACCAAACCTGTCACTTGTCGTTACGTAGTGTTGTCACCAAACCTGTCACTTGTTACGTAGTGTTGTCACCAAACCTGTCGCTTGTTGTTACATAGTGTTGTCACCAAATCTGTCACTTGTTGTTACATAGTGTTGTCCCCAAACCTGTCGCTTGTTGTTACATAGTGTTGTCACCAAACCTGTCGCTTGTTGTTACATAGTGTTGTCACCAAATCTGTCACTTGTTGTTACATAGTGTTGTCCCCAAACCTGTCGCTTGTTGTTACATAGTGTTGTCACCAAACCTGTCACTTGATGTTACGTAGTGTTGTCACCAAACCTGTCGCTTGTTGTTACATACTGTTGTCACCAAACCTGTCACTTGTTGTTACTTAGTGTTGTCACCAAACCTGTGACTTGTTGTTACATAGTGTTGTCACCAAACCTGTCGCTTGTTGTTACATACTGTTGTCACCAAACCTGTCACTTGTTGTTACTTAGTGTTGTCACCAAACCTGTCGCTTGTTGTTACATACTGTTGTCACCAAACCTGTCACTTGTTGTTACGTAGTGTTGTCAACAAACCTGTCACTTGTTACGTAGTGTTGTCACGAGAGTAATGAGAGTGTCAGTATTACTCACCTTAATGAGAGTGTCAGCGTTACTCAGCTTAATGAGAGTGTCAGCATTACTCACCTTAATGAGTGTGTCAGCGTTACTCACCTTAATGAGAGTGTCAGCATTACTCACCTTAATGAGAGTGTCAGCGTTACTCACCTTAATGAGTGTGTCAGCATTACTTACCTTAATGAGAGTGTCAGCTTTACTCACCTTAATGAGTGTCAGCGTTACTCACCTTAATGAGAGTGTCAGCATTACTCACCTTAATGAGAGTGTCAGCGTTACTCACCTTAATGAGAGTGTCTGCGTCGAAGGTGAGCTTGGCAGAGGCTTTAAGGTGCCTCATAATGCTGATAGTATCATTCTTCTGTAGGATTTCTTTCTCATTGATCTTGAGGATAGCCAGTGTGAAGCGGAACAAAACTTTTGGACCCTCAAGCAGGAAACAGTCCCAGATCCTTAACAATGTCTGCAAAATACAGAAATACATCATAAATCTATATATACAAGACAGGATACAACTTGTCTAGAGAGATTAAGATCAGAAACCTATGTACAGATGGCACCTGTATACTACACACCTGTATACCACACACCTGTATACTACACACCTGTATACCACACACTTGTATACTAGGATACATATATATATATCACACACATGTTCAACACACACCTGTATACCACACACCTATATACTACACACCTGTATACCACACACAAACCTGTATATAAATATCACACACCTGTATATTACACACCTGTTTTCTACACTTGTATATACATATCACACACCTGTATACCACACACCTGTATACTACACACCTGAACATATACACCTGTATGTCAAACACCTATGTTTACCACACCTATATACTACACACCAGTATACCACAAACCTGTATATAAATATCACACACCTGTATATTACACATCTGCTTTCTTCACCTGTATATAAATATCACACACCTGTATACCACACACTTGTATACTACACACCTGTATACCACACATCTGTATACCACACACCTGTGTACTGCACACCTGTATCTGCACACCTGTATATCACACACCTGTATACTACACACCTATATACTACACACCTGTATACTACACACCTGTATATCACACACCTGTATACCACACACCTGTATACTACACACCTGTATACCACACACCTGTATACTACACACTTGTATAATACACACACCTGTTTACCACACTCCTGTATACTACACACCTAAATCTATACACCTGTATATCAAACACCTATATAATGTACACCTGTATACTTCACATCTGTGTACACCTACATATCACACACATGTATACCACACCTATACTCATATGTTACACGTTAATATCTATATATTAACACATGCACACATCTGTATGTGAAACACCTGTTTAATTTAATATGTATACCACACCTGTGTAAGCTGTTTAGTTTACAGACATGCTTAGCCTCATGCACGATGGAAAACAAGTGGCTTATAGTCGTATACAACAAAGCCAAGCTGTGTAATGCTTTCCTGTCACTACTCTGCTGTCGGTGGGAATCACAATGTACTAGAGTCAAGTGTTCTGGGCTGGCAATGTTATGTCATGACATTTGGTTACCCCTGATGGGTCTCAGTGTGGAGAGTGATATCTGATAATACCTGATGAGCCCCAGCACAGAGAGTGATATCTGGTTACCCCTGAAGGGTCCCTGTGGACAGCACTACTTGTCTTCAAGGGAACAAAAAGACATGGCCATCAATAACAATTTGAATGTAAATCTCCGGATGTCAAACCCACACTCAGTATCACACCATAACAATAGCTAATTACCCCCAAATAGGCCTCACATCTTAAAAGTAAAACTAGGCCTGACTATTCTATTTGTGTTTGCTCCCTGCAGCAGGAATGAGCTGGCCCAGCTGAGTAGTAACATCACAGCAGCAGGCTCCAGTGTCAGACAGCCCACACACTCCAAGGAGGCCACATACTCTCTCCTATTGGCCACCATGTATTTTTTGTCACTGACCACTTGAGGAAGGAGTGGACACTAAAATGACCACTTTACACCAATCTGTGGTCAAACTTAGTCTTAGATCTACAGACAGAGGTTTAATGCATTTGTGATAACCAGGTGTGGTTAGTATGGTGGTGTAGTGATAGGGACACTATGTCTGTCAGTTGTGTGTGTGTGTTGGGGGTGGTGTTGGGGGGGTGTCTTTTTATCCCAGTCCTTCAAGCTATCACTACTGAGACACCTGACCCTCCCAAGCCCACCACCAACCCCAGGGATTACACAGGTAGACCTACCTGGGACCCAGGAGCAGTCTTAACTCGCAGGCCTGCTCGGGACCCAGGGGCTGTGAACACCCGCAGGCCCACTCGGGACCAAGGTGTTGTGAACACGCGCAGGCCCACTTGGGACCCAGGGGCTGTCAACAACCGCAGGCCCACTCGGGACCCAGGGGCTGTCAACACCCGCAGACCCACTCGGGACCCAGGGACGGTGTCCACTCAACAACCTAAGGAGGTTCCTGTCCACAGTCACCCTGATATCATCAAATTATCCTCTAAGACTGACTTTATGATGAGGAAATTAAGACAATTGGAAAAAGACAGAGATTCTGACAGGTGAGTTGTAACTATTTTATGCCATCTCAGTCTGTCCTCAGCATTTATTGGCTAGACCTAACCATCTCAGTCTGTCCTCAGCATTTATGGGCTAGACCTTATCATCTCAGTCTGTCCTCAGCATTTATGGGCTAGACCTAACCATCACTGTCTGTCCTCAGCATTTATGGGCTAGACCTTACCATGTCAGTCTGTCCTCAGCATTTATGGGCTAGACCTAACCATCACTGTCTGTCCTCAGCATTTATGGGCTAGACCTAAACATGTCAGTATGTCCTCAGCATTTATGGGCTAGTCCTAACCATCTCAGTCTGTCCTCAGCATTTATGGGCTAGACGTAACCACGTCAGTCTGTCCTCAGCCTTTATGGGCTAGACCTTACCATCTCAGTCTGTCCTCAGCATTTATGGGCTAGACCTAACCACGTCAGTCTGTCCTCAGCCTTTATGGGCTAGACCTTACCATGTCAGTCTGTCCTCAGCATTTATGGGCTAGACCCTACCATCTCAGTCTGTCCTCAGCATTGATGGGCTAGACCTAACCATCTCAGTCTGTCCTCAGCATTTATGGGCTAGACCTTACCATGTCAGTCTGTCCTCAGCCTTTATGGGCTAGACCTTACCATCTCAGTCTGTGCTCAGCATTTATGGGCTAGACCTAACCATCTCAGGCTGTCCTCAGCATTTATGGGCTAGACCTCACCATGTCAGTCTGTCCTCAGCATTTATGGGCTAGACCTAACCCCGTCAGTCTGTCCTCAGCATTTATGGGCTAGACCTAACCACCTCAGTCTGTCCTCAGCATTTATGGGCTAGACCTAACCACGTCAGTCTGTCCTCAGCCTTTATGGGCTAGACCTTACCATCTCAGTCTGTCCTCAGCGTTTATGGGCTAGACCTAACCACGTCAGTCTGTCCTCAGCCTTTATGGGCTAGACCTAACCATCTCAGTCTGTCCGCAGCATTTATGGGCTAGACCTTACCATGTCAGTCTGTCCTCAGCCTTTATGGGCTAGACCTTACCATGTCAGTCTGTCCTCAGCCTTTATGGGCTAGACCTAACCATCTCAGTCTGTCCACAGCATTTATGGGCTAGACCTAACCATCTCAGTCTGTCCGCAGCATTTATGGGCTAGACCTAACCATCTCAGTCTGTCCGCAGCATTTATGGGCTAGACCTTACCATGTCAGTCTGTCCTCAGCCTTTATGGGCTAGACCTTACCATCTCAGTCTGTCCTCAGCGTTTATGGGCTAGACCTAACCACGTCAGTCTGTCCTCAGCATTTATGGGCTAGACCTTACCATGTCAGTCTGTCCTCAGCCTTTATGGGCTAGACCTTACCATGTCAGTCTGTCCTCAGCGTTTATGGGCTAGACCTAACCACGTCAGTCTGTCCTCAGCCTTTATGGGCTAGACCTAACCATGTCAGTCTGTCCTCAGCATTTATGGCTCTACAAGCCCATTAAGAATTATATACTGACTATATACCTAACATGGACTACACTTAGATATCTGGTAATTCCTGCTCAGTGTCTTCTCCCACACAGAGGCAGCCAACCTGATCTGGCCCAGGCGATCACAATCATCACAACTATAAAGGCAGAGTGTTGGTGTGGCAAGAATGGCCACATTGTGTTCCTGCAGTAGGATCAACGCTCACACAGGAGCAAAGTTTGAAATCAATAGTAGTTTTAAGTTGCAAGTTCTGACAAAGGAATAAATTTGGGTTGATGAGACGAGGGAGAAGAACTCTGAGTGGGTGGTGAAGGGATCCCCCCCCCCTCCCCCCAGAAGGCACATGATTACCAAGACTGGCTTATCTCACAAATTCAGGGGATTAGTGAGACTGGCTTATCTCACCAATAAAGGATTAGTGAGACTAGTTAATCCCACCAATAGAGTATTAGTGAGACTGGCTTATCTCACCAATACAGGATTAGTGAGACAGGCTAATCCCACCAATACAGGATTAGTGGGACTGGCTTATCTGACTGAGAACAAACCAAATAAATGTATCTCATAGCTATATATTATTGAGGAACAAGGTATTAAATATGTTTCCATGCTATATCCTCAAGCGTACTGGTAACTTGCTTGTTTTTTGCTAAGTGGTTTTCATTCTAATCTTTTAAGAAAATGATTTTTAATAACAGACATATCATTATGATAACAAAATAATCATATGTGAAGGCAGCTTGTTAAGTGTTTTAGATATGGCCCCTGTTGTTGTTTCTGCTAAATTTGTTTGACGTATATGAAAATTAAAGCTGCATCACATATACAGTATTCTCCTTATCACCTGTATGACCTAATTTCTCTGTTTAACACCTATATGACATTGTTTCTCTGTGTAACACCTATATACCGGGGGTAACCTTGTTTCTGTGTTAAATACATGTTTGACCATTTTTCCAATGAATCACCTGTTTGATCTAGTTTATCTACATAACACTTGTATGACCTAGTTTCTGTGTTTATCGCCTGTATGACCTAGTTTCTCCGTGAAACACTTGTTTGACCTAGTTTATCAGTGAAATACCTGTATGACCTAGTTTTCTCTGTAACACCTGTATGATCTAGTTTTCTCTGCAACACCTGTATGACCTAGTTTTCTCTGTAACACCTGTATGACCTAGTTTTCTCTGTAACATCTGTATGAACTGCCACTAATGTTGTGTTTCCTACAACAGGGATAAGATAAAGGAGTTGGAACGCCACAGTTTAGAGAACAATGACGATGCTATCAGAGCTCTGGCCTCCAGTATGGAGCTCCAGCATCATGTTTCCGAGATACAAGACCGCCTCACACAGCTTGAGGAAAATGTGGACAATTACCGCCTCAACATGAACAACATGCGTTTTGAGCAGGAACAGATAAAAACAGAGTTGGACACATACAGGAAACTGAAGGACAGCACTAGGCGGTCATTCCGTAAACTTGACCGACAATTTGGTAAATACTCCCTACGCCTGGAAAATCTTGAGAATGATATAAGAAATGTCTCTTCAAATGTAGACATTGTGCTGGAAATATTTCAAGATGGCATGAAGGATAACTTTGGCAAGATTCAGAGCCTGGAACAGCTCATAGAAAATCGGACGAAACCTTTCTTTGAAGGAAATTTCCGACATATCAAATCAAGGATGAATAAATTAGAGCAAAATATGACGTTTCCAAGATCATCTTTACAATTAGTGACAAATGAGGAAGGATCTGGTGATGTAAACACCGACTACATTCTCACTCCAATACAGGAGAGTTCTAACCACATTGAAACAGGAAGTGGAGAGGAGACTCTAAGGGAGATTCCGATTGGCATTCTACCTCATACCCATTCACAATACCTCAACACTGAGGATTTTATCCTGGAAATTCAGGAGCGTGACGAGGAGATATCTGACTTAGAGAAGATGGTTGATCAGTTGAAGGCAAGTCTGTCCACCATGGAGACCAGGCTAACCTCTATACAGCTTGGTGACTTCATGGGGAAGTTACAGGACTCCCTGCTCAATTTCACACAGAATGTCATCACACTTGACCAGTGGAAGATGGCCAGTACAGACATTGTCAACTCTACTCAGTTTAATCAGCGTCAGATTACCGCCCTTACCAACATGATCCTCAACAACAGCAATCATGTGCGGGATGTGGAGTGGAAGGTTGCCGACGTGCAGTCGCTAGGCTACCAGCAATTCAACCTACTGCGAATGTATGTGATTCAGCTCAACAACTCTGTACAGGATATGAAAGATACAATGTCAAACCTTCGGCCTTCTCAGCAACAATATCAACAACAACAACAACAACAGTTAAACACGAACAGAGAATCACCCAGGCAGCCTACTGGTAATGCATCACCTCCTGATATGGAGCATTTAGACACATTGAAGTCACGAGTTGAGGATCTATCTCTTCAGATTATTTACAATGAAAACAGAATATCAAAGCTTGAGATCCATGCTCTGAATGAGTCATTGTTTGAGTGTAAGAAATACAACAAAGACAATAATCAGGATGCAAAGATAACACAAATCAACCAGGAAGTCTCCAAACTCATCCAGACAGAAATCATGGTCAAAGAGATGCTTAAAAGGCTTGATCGGGGACTGTTCCGTGTCCACCTAGCCAACAACAACCAATCAGATGTCATTAAAGACATCGTCAGGGAGATCGAGCATCTCAACAGTAATGTCAACGCTATCGATGAGCTTAAACAGGAAGTGGACCACGTCAGGTTCATGTTACCGAGAGGTAAGGTCAAGGTCACATGTTAATTTCTCTGGAGGCTAATTATTTATTCATAATTAATATGTATGAAGATCAGCAGATCACTTTTAGATTCTGTTTCTTAAAGACATACTGCATACTGTTTTCTCCCAGTGTTTATTTTGCCTTTCACATTTCACTAATAATTGTATTATGTTGTTTACTGATTTTTTTCAATGTAATGATAAATACGCCTTCATCATGAAGGGCAAAAAAGTTGATAAATTAAACTGCAGCAAAAATTATGTTTGACTATTATAGATTAATGTTTGACTATTACAGATTATTCCCCATATGTTTGACTATAACGGATTATTCCCCATATGTTTGACTATTACAGATCAATGTTTGACTATAACAGATCAATGTTTGACTATAACAGATCAATGTTTGACTATTACAGATTATTCCCCATATGTTTGACTATTACAGATTATTCCCCATATGTTTGACTATAACGGATTATTCCCCATATGTTTGACTATTACAGATCAATGCTCGACTATAACAGATCAATGTTTGACTATTACAGATCAATGTTTGACTATAACGGATTATTCCCCATATGTTTGACTATTACAGATTATTCCCCATATGTTTGACTATTACAGATTATTCCCCATATGTTTGACTATTACAGATTATTCCCCATATATTTGACTATTACGGATTATTCCCCATATGTTTGACTATAACGGATTATTCCCCATATGTTTGACTATAACAGATTATTCCCCATTTGTTTGACTATTACAGATTATTCCCCATATGTTTGACTATTACAGATTGTGAGGAATACTACAAGCGTGGCCATCGCTTGTCCGGGTTGTATGTGATTCATCCCGCCAATGCCTCACGCTCACTCAAAGTCAGCTGTGATATGGAGGACGAGTCTGGGGGCTGGACCATCATACAGCGTCGGATTGACGGAAGTGAGGAGTTTGCCCGAGGTTGGGACGACTACAAAGCAGGCTTTGGTTCCAGTGATAGTGAGTTGTGGCTAGGCAATGACCTCATCCACTCACTCACCCAAAACAAAAACCTCTCCCTGAAAATCGACATGGTGGACATGGAGGACAAATATTGGACTGTCACCTACTCCCACTTCAGAATTGGTAACGAGGAGAGTAAATATAAACTGTATGTGGACGGTTACCAGGGTAATGCCACAGACTCCCTGGAGTCCTCGGACGAGATGGGGTTCAGCACCCCTGACCAGGACAATGATGGCAGCAGCACAAACTGTGCCATGTACTACACTGCAGGCTGGTGGTACAAACACTGCCACTATAGTAACCTTAATGGGCGCTACCAGCTTGGCATGGTCTGGTACAACTACGACAAGGGCGAGTGGATACAGCTAAAACGGGCCACCATGAAGGTCAAAGCCTTTGTTTTATGATCTTGACAGTCATGTATATGTATTAACAATTAGGCCGTTGTAGGCCGTTGTAGGACGTTGTAGGCCATTGTAGGACATGGTAGGCCATTGTAGGACGTTTTAGGCCATTGTGGGACATTGTAGGCCATTGTAGGACGTTGTAGGCCATTGTAGGACGTTGTATGCCATTGTAGGATGGTGTAGGCCATTGTAGGATGTTGTAGGCCATTGTAGGACATTGTAGGACGTTGTATGGTTCTGCATCATCACCATGTGTCACAGTAAGCATTAACATAATGGAGGTATCATCATGTCAAACTTGGCTTCAACATTGTACCATTAAATCAACAAAATGCTTAAAATGTCACAGTAGGTAACACATTGTGTCTCAAAAGGTAACACATTGTGTCTCAGTAGGTAACAACATGTGTCACAGTAGGTAACACATTGTGTCACAGTAGGTAACACATTGTGTCTCAGAAGGTAACACATTGTGTCTCAGAAGGTAACAACATGTGTCTCAGAAGGTAACACATTGTGTCTCAGTAGGTAACACATTGTGTCACAGTAGGTAACACATTGTGTCTCAGTATGTAACACATTGTGTCTCAGAAGGTAACAATGTGTGTTACAGTAGTTAATACCATGTGTGAAGTAGTTTACAGGTTGTGTCACAGTAAACAAAACCTTATGTCATATAAAGTCGGTCACATTGATCATGTCATTAAGTGTTAGTCAAACCAATAGAATATTCATACCAATGTGTCAACTACCGAAGTGTGTAACAGTACCTATACTATTGTTGTATCATCACAAATAATGTTAACGGCATTCCAGGAACATGCCATAGGTGATGGTAGAAGAGTTGTTATGATGGTTATTTGGATAAGAGAGATATAACAAGGGGATATATAGCCATGGTTTACTATGATAGGAGATATGTAACCATGGTATCTATGGTAGGAGAGATGTAACCATGGTTACTATGGTAGGAGATATGTAACCATGGTAACTATGGTAGGAGATATGTAACCATTGTAACTATGGTAGGAGATATGTAACCATGGTAACTATGGTAGGAGATATGTAACCATGGTATCTATGGTAAGAGAGATGTAACCATGGTTACTATGGTAGGAGATATGTAACCATGGTAACTATGGTAGGAAAGATGTAACCATGGTAACTATGGTAGGAGAGATGTAACCATGGTGACTACGGTAGGAAAGATGTAACCATGGTAACTATGGTAGGAAAGATGTAACTATGGTGACTCTGGGTGGAGAGTTGTAACCATGGTAAATTTTGTAGAAGTTATGTAACCATAGTTACTTGGTAGGTGAGATGTAAATATGGTTTCTGTAGAGTAGAAAATTAACCACTTAGAAAGTTTTACAAGTTACTGAATATATACTTAATCAAATCAGAGACTCACTTGCAAATCTACTTTTTTGTGAAAAATAACATGAATGAATATTAACAATTGAAACTGGGAACAAATAGATTGCAAGACATAATCATCAATGATGCACCGAGAGTTATGAAGATATCTTTTAAACAATATCTTATTTGAATATCGGGGGTTTTCAGAGATGCAATACATCTACTTGCTAAAACCTAGGAGTGAGGAATAATTTAATTAGCATATTCTTAAAATTAACTTGCCTTTTACTAGTAGACATGTGTTAATCCTGATCAGGTAGGAAATTTGTAATGGTGCCTTTTTAATGGAGGGATAAACGTAACCATAGCTACCATAGTAGAAGTTTTGTTATCGTGGCAATTATTGTAAACATGATCAATGTGATAGGAGATGACGTAGTGTTTTAACATTGTAGTGATAGGTAAATGTATGTAAATGTATTAACGGTCATCATAACTGTATATAATGATATATATTGGATTTATAATAAACAGGTTCTACATCGTACTGACTCAATTATTTCTGCAAAATGAATTCAAAATTAACTCAAACATGTCCATGCTAACAGATAAACACATTTACATGTGAACCACCTGTTAACAAAGACTGCAGTAGGTGTATGTTAGAGAGGTTTATAAGATATAACCCAGACAAAGGATTACAATAACTGATTGTAACAGAGGGTTGTATGTTAGAGAGGTTTATAAGATATACCTCAGACAAAGGATAACAATAACTGATTGTAACAGAGGGTTGTATGTTAGAGAGGTTTATAAGATATACCCCAGACAAAGGATAACAATAACTGATTGTAACAGAGGGTTGTATGTTAGAGAGGTTTATAAGATATACCCCAGACAAAGGATAACAATAACTGATTGTAACAGAGGTTTGTATGTTAGAGTGGTTTATAAGATATACCCCAGACAAAGGATTACAATAACTGATTGTTACATGTATAGAAAACTTTATGTTTAAGAAGTCTGTATATTGACCTAAAACCTTAAAACAATCAAAATGTTAAAACACACTTAGTCTTTATTAAGTCAAGTGCTTTTGAATCAGAACTCAATAAATGATCTTTTTACGTCGATATGAATAATGGTATGTACTAAGTATTATCCCTGGTCTCCCTGCTGCTGTAAGGTACTTACAGCCAGCTCTCTCAAGTGTTAGGACATGACAGTCGGCCCTCTGTGCTTTCTGGTAAAGAAGATTGTAGTAGGTTACTGCTGTACCCAATCATTATTTGAAATGGAATGTATTCCTTATGTAGGTTGCTATTTGATTGTTTAATCCGACTGTTTTGTAACATTTCAGAATATCTACCATACTTCAAACACACTCCATGTACAAATATGTATGAATATATAACCATGTTCAGCACTGTGAGACATCTACCGTACTTCAGGCATACTATGTATAGCAATGTGGAGGGTCCATTACCCTGAATTCCATGCAATAAATTTACAATTAATGTTTGATTTGTAATCACAGAGAGGATAGATCTTGTTACACTGGCCCCCTTGTACTAATCAGAAGCATGCTGCCAGCAGTAAAACAGGTCAATGTTCTCTCTACATTACACTCACAAAGCTCCACAAACCAGGGTAAAACAGGTCAATGTTCTCTCTACATTACACTCACAAAAGTCCAGGCACACCAGGGTGAAACAGGTCAATGTTCTCTCTACATTACACTCACAAAGCACCACAAACCAGGGTAAAACAGGTCAATGCTCTCTCTACATTACACTCACAAAGCTCCACCCACCAGGGTGAAACAGGTCAATGTTCTCTCTCCATTACACTCACAAAGCTCCACCCACCAGGGGAAAACAGGTCAATGTTCTCTCTACATTACACCCACAAAGCACCACAAACCAGGGTAAAACAGGTCAATGCTCTCTCTACATTACACTCACAAAGCACCACAAACCAGGGTAAAACAGGTCAATGTTCTCTCTACATTACACCCACAAAGCACCACAAACCAGGGTAAAACAGGTCAATGCTCTCTCTACATTACACTCACAAAGCTCCACCCACCAGGGGAAAACAGGTCAATGTTCTCTCTACATTACACCCACAAAGCACCACAAACCAGGGTAAAACAGGTCAATGCTCTCTCTACATTACACTCACAAAGCACCACAAACCAGGGTAAAACAGGTCAATGGTTTCTCTATATTACACTCAAAAAGCTCCACCCACCAGGGTAAAATAGGTCAATGTTCTCTCTACATTACACTCACAAAAGTCCAGGCACACCAGGGTGAAACAGGTCAATGTTCTCTCTACATTACACTCACAAAGCACCACAAACCAGGGTAAAACAGGTCAATGTTTTCTCTATATTACACTCAAAAAGCTCCACCCACCAGGGTAAAACAGGTCAATGTTCTCTCTACATTACACTCACAAAGCTCCACAAACCAGGGTAAAACAGGTCAATGTTCTCTCTACATTACACTCACAAGGCACCACCCACCAGGGTAAAACAGGTCAATGCTCTCTCTACATTACACTCACAAAGCTCCAGGCACACCAGGGTAAAACAGGTCAATGTTCTCTCTACATAACACTCACAAAGCTCCAGGCACACCAGGGTAAACCCAAGGCATCACATACCAGGGAAAACCCAAGGCACCACATACCAGGGTAAACCCAAGGCACCACACCAGGGTAAACCCAAGGCACCACACCAGGGTAAACCCAAGGCCCCACACCAGGGTAAACCCAAGGCACCACACACAAGGGTAAACCCAAGGCACCACATACCAGGGTAAACCCAAGACACAACAGCAGGATAAACCCAAGACACCACATACCAGGGTAAACCCAAGGCACCACACACCAGGTTAAACCCAAGGCACCACACCAGGGTAAACCCAAGGCCCCACACCAGGGTAAACCCAAGGCACCACACACAAGGGTAAACCCAAGGCACCACATACCAGGGTAAACCCAAGGCACAACACCAGGTTAAACCCAAGGCACCACACACCAGGGTAAACCCAAGGCACCACATACCAGGGTAAACCCAATGCACCACATACCAGGGTAAACCCAAGGCACCACACACCAGGGTAAACCCAAGGCACAACACCAGGTTAAACCCAAGGCCCCACACACCAGGGTAAACCCAAGGCACCACATACCAGGGTAAACTCAATGCACCACATACCAGGGTAAACCCAAGGCACCACACCAGGGTAAACAAAAGGCACCACACCAGGGTAAACCCAAGGCACCACACACAAGGGTAAACCCAAGGCACCACACACCAGGGTAAACCCAATGCACCACATACCAGGGTAAACCCAAGGCACCACACCAGGGTAAACCCTGGGCACCACATACCAGGGTAAACCCAAGGCACAACACAAGGTTAAACCCAAGGCACCACACACCAGGGTAAACCCAAGGCACCACATTCCAGGGTAAACCCAATGCACCACATACCAGGGTAAACCCAAGGCACCACACCCCAGGGTAAACCCAAGGCACCACACCAGGGTAAACCCGAGGCACCACACCAGGGTAAACCCAAGGCACCACACCCCAGGGTAAACCCAAGGCACCACACCAGGGTAAACCCAATGCACCACACCAGGGTAAACCCAAGGCACCACACCAGGGAAAACCCGAGGCACCACACCAGGGTAAACACAAGGCACCACACCGGGGTAAACCCAAGGCACCACACCAGGGTAAACCCGAGGCACCATACCAGGGTAAACCCAAGGCACCACACCGGGGTAAACCCAAGGCACCACACCAGGGTAAACCCGAGGCACCATACCAGGGTAAACCCAAGGCACCACACCGGGGTAAACCCAAGGCACCACACCAGGGTAAACCCGAGGCACCACACCAGGGTAAACCCAAGGCACCACACCACGGTAAACATAAGGCACCACACCAGGGTAAACCCAAGGCACCACACACAAGGGTAAACCCAAGGCACCACATACCAGGGTAAACTCAATGCACCACATACCAGGGTAAACCCAAGGCACCACACACCAGGGTAAACCTAAGGCACCACACACCAGGGTAAACCCAATGCACCACATACCAGGGTAAACCTAAGGCACCACATACCAGGGTAAACCCAAGGCACCACACCAGGGTAAACCAAAGGCACCACATACCAGGGTAAACCCAAGGCACCACACACCAGGTTAAACCCAAGGCACCACACCAGGGTAAACCCAATGCACCACACCAGGGTAAACCCAAGGCACCACACCCCAGGGTAAACCCAAGGCACCACACCAGGGTAAACATAAGGCACCACACCAGGGGAAACCCAAGGCACCACATACCAGGGTAAACCCAAGGCACCACACCCCAGGGTAAACCCAAGGCACCACACCAGGGTAAACCCGAGGCACCATACCAGGGTAAACACAAGGCACCACACCGGGGTAAACCCAAGGCACCACACCTGGGTAAACCCAAGGCACCATACCAGGGCCATCACACACCAGGGCGATCAAACACCAGGGCCATCACACAACAGGGTCATCACACACCAGGGCCATCACACAAAAGGGTCATCATACACCAGGGTCATCACACACCAGGGCCATCACACACCAGGGCCATCACACAACAGGGTCATCACACACCAGGGTCATCACACAACAGGGCCATCACACAACAGGGTCATCACACACCAGGGCCATCACACATCAGGGCCATCACACATAAGGGCCATCACACATCAGGGTCATCACACACCAGGGCCATCACACATCAGGGTCATCACACAACAGGACCATCACACAACAGGGTCATCACACACCAGGGTCATCACACACCAGGGTCATCACACATCAGGGCTATCAAACAACAGGGCCTATATCTACCAGGGCCATCACACAACAGGGCCATCACACATCAGGGTCATCACACATCAGGGTCATCACACACCAGGGCCCATATCTACCAGGGCCATCACACAACAGGACCTATATCTACCAGGGCCATCACACAACAGGGCCATCACACATCAGGGTCATCACACACCAGGGCCCATATCTACCAGGGCCATCCCACAACAGGACCTATATCTACCAGGGACATCACACAACAGGGCCATCACACACCATCACACATCAGGGCCTATATCTATCAGGGTCATCACATAACCGGGCCATCACACATCAGGGCCATTACACATCAGGGCCTATATCTACCAGGGCCATCACACAACAGGGCCATCACACAACAGGGCCATCACACATCAGGGCCATCACACACCAGGGTCATCACACACCAGGGTCATCACACAACAGGGCCATCACGGTCATCACACAACAGGACCATCACACAACAGGGTCATCACACACCAGGGTCATCACACACCAGGGTCATCACACAACAGGGCCATCACCCACCAGGGTCATCACACAACAGGGCCATCACACAACAGGGCCATCACACACACGGGCCATCACACACCAGGGCCATCACACACCAGGGCCATCATACACC